TTGTTGTTTTATATTTTGCTTTAATATATAGATGCGAGAACTTTATCTTAGAAAAATGATCCTCAATTGTTTGCTTTCAAAATTTTTTGGAATGTTTCTCCTGAATCATGCAGCTCAATAGATTCTTTTTTATTGTTAGGACTATTCTTCAGAAACTTAATTTCAAAATATTTCGTAAGGGGCCCGGAAAATTTGGTGGGCCTTGGGCCTGAATTTGTCTTGATCAGTCCCTGCCGGCAGTGCTGCTAGAGCACTTTGTATGTGCAACACGATCGCAATCTTTATAAAACTTTAAATCTGTGTAAAAAATAACTTTCCTCGAGATCTTCAAAAACTTTCCTCGTTTTTTTTTTTTTTTTTTNTTTTTTTTTTTTTTTTTTTCATCTTCTTATATAAATATACATCTGTGAATTACCGAAATCAAGAAAATGTCGACTTTCACCGGTGAATGTCAACAAACACATAGTCGCTTTAATGAATGCCCGAAAAAATACCGGTTAAATGCATACCGGGCAGTGGCACTTAATCTTAAGAAAACATTGATGTAGGACATACCGGGCAAATGTATACCTGGCAGCGGTACTGAATCTTAGAAAGAAAACATTGGAGTAGGGCATACCAGACAAATGTACAGCGGACAGTGATATTTAACTAGACCAAGTATATATTTCGGACATTTACCAAAGCTATTATGTGATTGTCACATTCACCGGTGGAAGTCAACAACCACCAATTTCGGTTATTCACAGTAACATATCTATGAAATTACCGAAATATGAACGTGCGAATAAGTTTGAAATATTTAATATGATTCTATTTTCCTTATNTCCCCATAGTTTGGTTAAGAGATCATATATATACTCGCACATTTTTTTTACAAATTTCAATTGTTAGATTTTTATGATACTTTTGATAAAAAAAATATCAAATGATAAGTTTCAGTCACAAAATTAAAATTTTCTGAACTTCGAGTCAAAAATTGTCTGTTAAAGTAATGAAAAAGAATAGAGGTTTCAAGGGGGGGGAGGGAATCATAAAACCAATGTTTCTCCACATTGTTAAAAATTTATAAATATTTTGAACCATGATAACGCTCAAATGATGTAAGTAAATATGATGGCTATTTCAACCATATTATTTAACTTCCTAAACTTTATTACACGATACTATACTATGGTTTAAATTGAACTAAATACCTCAACTAAATCAACTGAATACCTCATTAAGGTTTCAGAAAAACCGCAGTATTATGATTCAACGTTGAACTGATTTTTCTTCGGATTTAGATAGGAGTAGTCGATAAAGGCAACTGGTCTTCCTTTTTGAGAAATGTAAACGTTGTTTTGTATACTTAATAAACAATCTTGAACTCTGCTAAGAGTCCCCTTGCAATCAGGCTAACCGTGGAAGGTTGACGTGGTCTTTCTCTCCCTGTAACGCAAAAGCGGGTTAATTCCACTCAAAAGTTCACCACGAAGGCAAATTTCTCCCAATACTTGATCCAGGATTTCCCTTGTCTTCTGGATTAGGTTCAAAATAAATAAGAATACGGAGTTGAACATTGGTAGTCGTAAACTGAAAATTCGGTCAGCTGTTCTACAACGGTTATAAAATAAAATATAAAAAATGTTCATTTAATATCTCATTTGAAATGTTCAATATTTTTTTCCATTATGTTTTATTAAACCCTCATACACCCCTACCCCTTTCATCAGAAAGATTCTGGGTTCGAATCCCGGGCAAGGAAACGTATTAAAATCCTGACAATTGGATACATGCATCCCAGGATTGTGCCTAATCACGTGGTTGTGCTTGGCGGGGGTTGCTATGTTACAGCAATTAGGCTTGTTTTATTAGCAAGATGAATCAGTTTTCAAATCATATTTAATTGGATGTCTATAAGTGACGTCACGCGTGTGGGTGTCGATCCTAATGGGCTTCTGAATCTTGGCATAAGCGAATGCCGCGATTTTCCTACGAAGCACGCTTACACGCACCACACTATACCCTACTAGAATACAATTACATAAAAAGTATCACGATTAATTTCATTTCTTTAAGAAATAATAATAAAAACGCATTTTTTCTCTTTTTTTGAGCTAACGATTACATAAATTATGGATTTCCAGAATCGCATTCAAATTTTAATTTTAAAATTTATATATTAACTATTATTGCAGATATCTCGATATTATTGTTGTATTTGATCTCTGAACTGAACTGTATTAAATATATGGGCCCCTCAGACAGCCATTCATCTTTAACTTGAACTTTGTAGTGTTTCGATGAGGTGGTGGAATGCAAATGAAGTATTTATGTGAATTATTGAATTGTGACTGTGTACTTATATGCAGATAATGTAAAAATATGAGGCATGACTTGAACTAATCTAGTATGGTGAAAATGAGATTATGTATATGCTATTGATATCATTGCTATAGTATGCTGCTATTGGTCTCATGACTTCAGTTGAATTTCCATATAGAAATATTTAATTGACATTTGCTGCAGAGCAAGAGGTGGCTTTTGTATTCGTATTTGGTGGAATTTAGAATTTAATTTAGCTATGTGTTTGTCTATTGCATCTATTTTGAAGTGTATTGTATAACTTCTTGTGAACCATTTGGCTTTTCTTATCCATTTTAGCATTTCAGTTTGATAGAGTATTATTTTGTTCAACAGAGTTTGTGTTATATTTGTCAAAACTGGTGTGGCATATGTAAGGATGGGGCGAATCATGGTTAATCGAGCAATCTTTTGAGTTTTAGTGCCATGTTTGATCGATAGAGTAGTACCTGTAATTTATTTCGATGTAATTCAGTTCAATATGATATCGTAGCTCTTTAAGGTGCGAAAAAGAAAGCCATTTTTTTAACAAAGGATTTAATAAACCACACATTTTCTCAATGGTAAGATAAATTATAGATTTCAATTGTAACATTTTTACACAATAGGCATTGTATTTGATGTTTTAAACTAATGTAATGTTTAGAAATAACAATTCTGAGTGGCATAATATTTCTTTTTTTTTTTTTTTATGCACGAGGGCTGTTTTTTAAGTAAGGGCAGTTTTGTTGTGTACACTAATATGTGTCCGTGCGTCGTGTCCGGACATTCCTTGGGACCAACTGTGCTCCGTTACAGCTGTGTAGGTAACCTATACAGGTCATTTCAGTGTCTTTAAAATATTCAAGTTTAATTATCAATTTTTAGCTATATTATAAAACTTAGTTATCTTTAAGTAGTTATATTATAAAATTCTTTTTTCAAATACTTTTTCTTTAAAAAAATTGAATTAAAATAAATTTATGCGTAAAAAAATGTAAAAAGTAGTTCACTAGTTACTTATTAATATAAAAAAATTAACATTATCTAAATCCTTTGCTAGGTTCGCTCAAAGTTATTATTAAAGTTATTAAAATTCTTTTTATCTAAACTACATGTGAATTAAAGTAAATTTATGGGTAAAAAAATTTAAAAAATAGTTCACTAGTTACTTATTAATGTAAGAAAATTAAAATTATCTAAATTCTTTGCTATGTTCGTACAAAGTTATTATGTAGGTCGGAATCAATTTTTATTGGACAAACATAATATACAGGATGGCAAAGAAAAATATAATTCCTCTTTATAAAAAAAAAAACGCTATTGCACATTTTTACATCTTGTTACTGTTGTTGTTGTCTTAGGTCATTAAGGCAAGGGGGGGGAGATTGTTCTTTTTTTCTAGTGGCTCCATCTATGACCAAGAATTTGACTTCCGCCGCACCAGTTTATAGACGGACCCATTCATACATCCACAAATCGTAATTTTGACCTGAACCAGAGAACGCCCCTGGTCGTCACTTTAAAACAAATGTACAGTGCGCCTAAAAAATTGACCACCTTAAATAACTTTTGGTCTAATGATTGGATCTTTACGTTCTAGGACTCTATTTTAATGGTTCGAGGGGCTAACCTCAAATATGCTAATTAATTAGGGCAAACTATATTTAAAGTTACGAATTCAGACACAAAAACGTACTTTATCTGAATAAACATACTTTTTTTTCGATGGATTCGGATTTCTGATCCCCAAAACATGGGGGGTAGCCGCAATCTGGGAAATACAGTCCCCATAGTTTGGTTAAGAGATCAGGCTATACAAAGTTTGGACCCTTTAATGTTTATTTTATTTTTTTTCATTGGTCACTATATCTCGAGAACTTTTTAGGCGAATTTAAAACGGTTTCCACACAATTATAAAATTCGTTTATCCAAAGATAACTTAATGCTAAAAAAAGAAATTTTAGTAAAAATTATTTTATTAAACAATAGTCGAAAAATGTGGAATTGTCAGGTATGCATTTTTTTTATTATTTCAAAATATGTAAATTTGCATGGCAAAATACAAAATTTGAGTGAAATCGGTCGAATAATTCCTAAAAAATCCAATTTTAAAGAAGTCCTATTTTTAAAATTCGATTTTTCAGGAACTATTCAACGGATTTCGCTCAAATTTTATATTTTGCCACGTGCAATTTTATACTTTTGATGACATACTTTAGTTACATACTTTCAAGTGATTTAAAAAATTGCATACCTTACTATTTGAATTTTTTTCGACTATTATGAAATAAAATAATAAATATTTACTAAAACCTTTTTTTTTTGTTTTTTGCATGGAACTGTCTTTGGATAAACGAATTTTATTATTCTATGCAAAAAAATTTTAAAAGCTCACGAGATATGGGGAAATAAGCAAAAAGTATAATTAAAGAAGTCCAAACTTTGGATCACTCTCTTGACCAATCTATGGGGACCCTATTTCCCACATTGTGGCTACCCCCCCTATATATTGGGAGTCAGAAATCTGAATCCGTCGAAAGAAAATTTATGTTTATTTAGAAAAAGTACGTTTTTATGTCTTATTTCATAACTTAAAATATTGTCTTACTTCATACGTAACTTAAAATATATCAAAACTATTCTAATCTTGGCTAATGATTTATTTTTAAAAGGTAATCCTGTTGGTGACTTTATTGGGCGCTGCTCAAGCCGGAGGACGCCCACCTCTGCCATCCTCTGATGCCGAAGAGTTAAATGCCCCCCTACAGCAAGGACAGGTCTCGGTCGAATATAATGAGGAACCCGAAGAACAAAAAACCGTTGAAGATTTTGATTGGAATCATGGAAGAGGACCTCCGCATGAGGCAACGAAACAACTTCCTCTCAACTATGGAGATCGAATTCCTCAAGAAAATACTGAGAGAGACCATGAGGCTTACGGGAAACATGCTAAAGCAGATACAGGATATTCTGGCAAGAAAGGAAGTCATAATTCGAAAGGTCACTGGATAGAAACTTCAGAAGATCATAGAGAAACTGGAGAAGAACACCCCAAGAGAAGTTTTGAGGACAGTAAGTTACATGGAGGTCACGATGGTAATCTAGGTTCCAACAAATACAGACTAAAAACCAGGAGAAAGTATCCTAAAAGACCCAAATATCCAAATCCTTTCGAGCAAGCATCAAAGGGACAAACACGTTCAAATGCTTACGGAAAAAATGATAAAAGCTCTACCAGCGAAGGTGACGAACAACTTTTAGTATATCGAGAAACTCATAAGAATGATAAAATACCTGAATTCAAAAATTTCGACACGAGCAGCGAAATAAATCTTAAAAATCGGGACCATACTTTTCAATTTAATAGTAATAAAAATGGTGAAGAAAGTTATGTTAAAAAAGAAGACGAAAAAGACCTATCAGGTTTAGTTCAAACACAAGATAATTCTGATCATCGCAATTATAAAAATGACAATTTATTTCAATCCCATTTACAGAAGGCAGATCAAGCTGAAAGTCATAGTAGCCTAGGAAATCAAAAAACTGAAGATGCACATAACAGACATTATGGCGTAATGAATCTTGGACATAGTAATTTGCATCATGCATCCAAATATGACCAAGATCATCGGATCAAAGATAACTATCATTCCGGAATTCATTCTCAAAATTACGGCAATAATTTACATCGTGCATCACGACTCAATAATAATAATTTTAGCAAACATAATTATGGTTATGGTAGTGGCTCTGGTTTACATTCTGCAAACTCACACATTAAAAGCTCTGGAAATAGTAATTTGCATCATGCAGCTCTGTTCAGTGAAGATCATTTGAATAAACACAATTACGGTTATGAAAAAGATTCTGGTTTGCATTCCGAAAATTCTCAATTTCAAAGTTTTGGAAATAACTTGCAACACACATCAGGATTCAGTGAAAACCATTTGAGCAAACATAATTATGGTCATGGTAGTAATTCTGGTCAACATTTTTTAAATTCACAAGTTCGAAGCTCTGAAAATAGTAATTTGCATCACAGATCTGTTTTTGGTCAAGAGCATTTGAATAAACTAAATCATGGTTATGGCAGCAATTCCGGTCTCGATTCTTCACAAGTTCAAAATTCTGGGAATAGACATCATACAACTGGATATGGGGGGCATAATTCCGGATACGAAAGAGGTTCTGGTCTGCACTCAGCCAATTCACAAGTTCAAAATTCAGGAAATAGTCATTTACATCATACATCTGGAATTGGTCAAAATCATTTGAATAAACATAAATACGGTTATGGCAGTAATTCTGGTCAGCATTCTTCACAAGTTCAAAATTCTGGGAATAGTCATTTACATCATACTTCTGGATACGGTGGACATAATCACGGATACGAAAGAGGCTCTGGACTGCGCTCTGCCAATTCACAAGTTCAAAGCTCCGGAAATCATCATAAAACCGGATATGATAAAAATCATTTGAATCATCGTAGTAATTCTGGTTTTCAATCCGTAAATTCACAAGTTCAAAACTTAGAAAATAGTAACTTGCATTCACATAATAAATATCATACATCCGGATTCGGTCACGAACATTTGAATAAACATAATTACGGTAATGAAAGAAATTCTGGTCTCCATTCTACAATATCAAAAGTTCATAACTCTGGAAATAATTTACATTATACGTCTGGATTAAACAGACATGGATCTAGAAGTAATTCTGTTGTGAATTCACAAGCTCATAATTCCAGAAACAGAAATTTACATCATACATCTAGGGCTCATGATCATTTAAATAAACATTCAAACAGTTATGGAGGAAATTTCGGCTTGCATTCCAAAGTTCATAATTCTGATTTAGCAAACAGCTATGTCGCTGCATCGCATACTTCAGATTTACAAGAAACGCGTTCAGGTGGAGATCAATATGGGCAAAATAGAAAACATAATATGCAAAAAAATACTGGCTATGATAGAATAGCTCAAGTAGACGTCTCTAAGGGAGTTGACGAGAAAAACTATAGGCCTGATTATCATTCACTCAATCATGATAAAAAACATAGCTATGGCTCTAGTAAACGAGATCAAGTACACTACAATTCGGGAGCTCAACACAAAACTACGGGCTCTGGAGTATTTTCTCCAAGCCACAGCGATGTGTTTGGAGCTAACAAGAAGACTCTTAATGAATATTCAAATAATGAACATCACAAAATTATATTTCCAAGCCACAAAGCAAACGATGGGTACTTTTACAATGAAAATGAAAGTGGCAACCATGATAAATACAAAAAAGAGAACGCACAAGGCATAGGAGAAATAACGGTTCTTGGTTACAAAACACAACCTGCAGGAATCAAAGGTTTCAGTGACCATCATAAGACTTTGAGCACTCCAGGTGAACAATTATATGCACATCATACAAAAAAATCACTCCCTGTTTTTGAAGAAAACAAACAAAAAGTCAAATCTTCTATAAAAACGAACAATCTTAACCACCCGAAGCAACCGCACTTGGTAACACACTCTGGGAAACATAATACGAACAGTGAAAACAGTCCTTTTTCAAAAACTGACCAAATTCATGATCACTATCAAGCTTTTGAAAGATCACCAAACACGAAAAGTCACAAACCCAATCAACCAAAGTACCCCCGAATCGGAGCATACAGTGGAATTAAGGGTGGTTCTGATAAAATCAGCAGACCCCACTTCCAGTTAAGTGAACCTAGACATGCATCTGGAGTAAAAGGGGGAATTTCTAAAGATCTTATGAAGACTATTCCAGACTTTCCAGTCCAATCAGATGTCCCCATCATAGAACAAAAAGAATTTCCACTTGAAAAAGAGCAAACACTTGGTCATTGGTCAAAAAGCTCTTCCAAAAATGCAGAACCTCATCTCATTAGCCAACAACCTCAAGCAGAACTATCTTATGAAGCACTGTTGGGAGAAGGAAAGTATCCAGAGAAATCAAGTGGATACGGGTCAAGTGGATTCGGTAATCCTGCAACTCACAACTCAAGAAATAATGAGTACAAGGTAGGTATTAGCACAAGTAAAAAACTAGAAGCAAAATAATTTTTTTCGTAATTAGTTTTTAGGAAGTATATTCGGGCACTAAAAACAATCCATTGCTGTTAATATAGTCACGCATTTTTCAAACCTTACCTAGAAATAAAGTGCGTTTTTCTCAAAGGCTTCCTCTTGGAGTTTTTCACGTGACGGTCAATCAATATGTACAGAGTGTTTCAAAAATATCTGATGGAAATGTTATCAAAAGTAAATATTTCACCAATAATTATAAGAAAATAATACCAGTTTTACATCCCAAAGTGCTGGTTCAAAAAAATTATGTGTGTATTTATACTTTTTAACTTTTCGAGAAATTCAAATCGGATATTAAGTTACCAAATATGAATTAAAACAAATTTATGAAGAAAAAAAATTTCAATGTTTTCAACACCGACGCAATATTAAAAGGATTACTTTAAAAGCTCATATCTAGTACAATTTTTGACGAGATGTTTTTCTTTCTTTTTTTAAATTTTAAAATACTTTTGTTAATGATTAAAAATTATTCAAAAAATTATGTTTAATTTTATTGAATATTTTTACAATTATATGAAAAAAGGATTTTTTTTTTTTTTACTAAAAGAACAAGTTGATATTTCCATAAATAAAACTAGGTTTACGAAATTTTCTACAATTATTGCTTATAATAACTAAAGTAATGGATACAAATTACAAGCTATAATATTCGTATACACTGAGTGACTAAATTATTATGACCACCCCCTCAATACAGTATTGGACAACCTTTATCTCGTAATACTGCTCGAATTCTACTTGGCGTAGATTCTAGAAGATGTAGGTACGTGGAAGTTGGAATTTGATCCCATATCTGATGAAGTGCAAGTTCAATTCCGTCAGATTGGATGGCAATGAATCCAGCAGCCTGTCTTTTTGATCTTATCCCACAAATTCTCAATTGGATTGAGATCTGGTGATTGTGTGGGCCAACAAAGCATGGTAAAGTCTCCGTCATGCTCTTCGAACCTTCTGATGGCGATACGAGCTGTATGACAAGTAGCATTGTATTGCTGAAAGTATCCATACCCGTCAGGGTACAGCATTAACATAACAAGACGTACTTGATCTGCAATAACACCTAAATACCCTGGGGTATTCAGATGCTGTGCCACAGGAATCAAAGGACCCAAGCAATGCCAAGAAAACATCCCGCAAACCATAACATTGCCCCCACTAGCTTGAAGTGTTGTGGAAATGCATTTGGGGTCCATGCTTTCGTGCTGTTTTCGCAATATCCGAACCCAGCCGTCTGCATGGTATAATTGAAAAGGTGATTCCTCAGAACACATGACCCTTTTCCTGTCATCTACTGTCTAATCCTTATGCTCCTTTGCAAATTGGAGACGTCTGCTCTTGTTCAAGGCTGACAGCAGAGGCTTTCGAATAGGACGTCGGCCCATAGCCCATACCAGGAATGGGCCAACTGTGGCCCATCGGAAGGTTTAATCAGGCCCGCGTATAGAATAACTTGCCGATCCGTGGCTAATATAAAGCATTTTCGTATCTACTTTGTTTAAAGCTATTTTTGTTCAGTTCATTCTCTTTTAACAAAGCACTGATGACATTTTTTCTTTCTCTATTTTTGTTCTACAAAACATAAATTGAAGGAAATAGCTAGCACAGACAGCTTCAATTAGTGAAATGTTGAAAACAGAAGCTCTTTATAGAATAGCCGCAGATTGGCGTCATCTGAAGCAGTTGTTTCTAAATATGCCAAGGTCTGAGTTTTACAAATCATTACCAAAAGCTAGTTTCCCAAATTTAATATCTCATGCTCAGAAAATCAGTGCTATGTTTACTTCATCTTATATTTGTGAACAAGTGTTTCCAACTATGAACCTCAGAAAAAATCATTTCGGAAGTAGATAACAGACAAACATTTAGCCTCGTTCCTTAAAATCTGTTTAGAGATGTTCGCAGTTGCACCTTCTGTTGCTCTACTGTTGGACTGGACAACTCTGGCAAGTCTCCTTTCAGCTCGAGCATTCAGTAGCCTGTAACGACCACAAGTCTAGCGTTCAGACCCGGTTTTCTGCTCGGTAGTCCACATTAATAACTGCTTCTCTCGAACACTTCCAAAGAGCAGCCGCTTTGCTGATACCGACGCTTCGATCATCCAGCTGTCAAATTCAGTTCAGTCACGTTTTTCGTCCATAGCTCCGCTCGTAACACAGTGCAACTGATGGTTCACTTGCATTGCATTCACTTTTTGTAGCTATCTCGCCCTCTATCGTGGCCTCACTGTGACGCAATAGCTCATTTTGCATAAAACTGTCAGGTGGTCATAATAATTTGGCCACTCTATGTGTGCATGCCCTTGCCTTCCGAAGATTCTCTCCCATGAGCAGTAATTTTTGAAAGAGAAATAAGTCCATATGCAGCTAGGAGCTGAGGAAGTAGTTAATTTATTTAATTATTTTATTTGAATAATCATTGTAGCAGGAGTCAGGGTGGCTCCGGGGATAGAGCGCTCGCTTTCCAATGAAGTGAATTGGGTTCGAATCTCAGCATTGATGGGTCGATTCGAATTCCGCACCCGGCTTGCAGTGACCACAGTGCTGACGTAAAATATAATCATGGGTTAGAATCCCCTTGCCGCCAGTCTAACCGTGGGTAACAGTTCGTGGTTTTCCTTTCCATGTAATGCAAATGCTGTTGCGATTTGCAATTGGCAAAGACGTTCGAAAATTGGCGAATACTTTTAATGTTCGGCTAATAATTTAAAACCCTTACCGCAGACCCGGAAATACTAAGTACTTTTTAACTAAAAAATAAAAAAATTTTACATGGCTTAGTGTTGCATATTGATGCATTATTTTTACGCCGAAATGCTCAAAGCTTTCAAATGATTAACAAGGTAAAACTCGGGAGTTTGAAATCAGAATTTTTTTATTATCAATAATCATTTAAAACAAATTATAAAAAATACTAATGAAATAAAAAAAAACTAAAAACCTCAGTGCTTTTTTTAATTGACCATTAGTCTGGTTTAAAGCGAATTTGAGGCAGATTTGCATTTTGCCCCCCCCCCCAAATCAATCATTCGCTACGGCCCTNCCAATTCTATCGTTCGCTACGGCCCTGATTGATACACATATTTATGCATTAGGAAAAAGTTTTTTTTAACCTATTTAGCATAAATTGTGTTAAAATTATAAGTGGTAAAAATAAGTAGGCAGATACTCGTACTATACTCTTTGTTAATATAATAATCGTCTCAAGGTTATCTCACTTCTCAATTCCTACTCCGTTGCCTATGTTTCCTTTTCTTCTTAAGTTTTTGTTAACCGTCGTAGAACAGCCGACCCACTTTGCGTTTACGACTACTCATGATCAACTCCGTAGCCTTGTCATTTAAAACCCAATCCAGAAGACAAGGGAACTTCTGGATCAAGTAGTGGGAGAAATTTGCCTTCACAGAGGATTTTTTGATGAAACTAACCCGAATTTGCTTAACATGGAGAGGAAAACAACGAAAATCATCCACGGTTAGCCCAACTGCAAGGGGACTCTGACCCATGATCCCTCTACCACTGACGATATTTTACGTCCGCACTGTGATCGGTGCGAGTCGGGTGCGGGATTCGAACCCGGTTCACCTCATTGGAAAGCTCCATCCCCTGCGCCACCACGTCTCCATTACCATGGTTAAGGCAACTGTTTATTTTCTCCACGGCGGTACGTTTCCGCAAAAAGTCGGAATATACTGGAGAGGGTAGAGAGAATTGCCGTAACTATGGTAAAGGATAAGAATTGGGCAAATGTCTATTTCATTGATTTAATTCTCTCTTTTCAATTGAAATAACGTGTGTATTGCAGGAATCCAAAGCTATGCCGTATGAATTTAAATATGAAGTAAAAGATGATGATGGAGCCAACCAATACAGAGAAGAGAAAATGGATGAGGGTGGTATGCTGACAGGTCGATACGGATATAAGGACCATCACGGAATCTACAGGCATGTGGAGTACCAGGCTGGTAAGGAGGGTTTCAAAGTATCCAACATAAAGACAAATGAACCAGGCACAAGCAATTCAGATCCAGCTGATGTCCATTTTGAAGTTCATAGTGAACCAATATATTAGAATTATACTATTTATACTAGTCTCATATGCACAAAGGTAAGAATCATTCTAGCACCATGGAATAAAGGTTATTGGAAATTAAGTCTAAAATCTCCTACACTTTTAACATAACTCTTTTTTGCAGTGTAAATGACAGTCTCTGGCAGGAAAAAAAAAATCATTTACTTTTTTAATAATAGCAGTATGAAAATTGCAATAGACCGATGAATTTTTATTTTAAGACAACTAAAATGTACTCTATGGTGTAATGTTTCGACATAAAACATTTTTCAGAAACCCTATTTTTCTCCCTACATTATTTTAAGCATTGTTTATAGTGTGTATTGAAAAATAATTTTTTTTCTTCGATTCTAGGTAAAAAGTTGTGACGGTAAGAGGTTGCTCATCAAGCATTGTTTGATTACGCACATTGTTTAGATATTTATTAAATGTTATCTCATGAGTTTATGTTGTGTTTTGTAACAAATAAAGATGTTAGTGTCTAGCTTGTTGAGTTTAACTTTGTGATCAGTCAAGAACAGATTCTGATCCTGGTTAATGCATAATTCATATAGTAAATTCGTATGGTAGGGTGCACAACCATTTTGAAAAAAGGGCTACATGTTCCAGTATCTAGATATGTTGAGGCATTTTTTTTTCCGAAATTTTTAATTCATCATTTTATTTTAATTTATATCATATAATTTATATTATTTCAATACAATCAAACACTATGTCTAAAACACTTAAGTAAACGTCAGTGTTTTTGACACAGTTCTTTTTATCACTCAACTTAGTAAAAAGCATGCATAAATTAAATTTTTTAAATAATTATAATTCTTTTCCTATTAGTTTTAATTCATTGTTTTCTTTAATCAGTTAACTTAGTAATATACATGCATAAAATTAAATTCTTTTAAATATTACATTCATTCAAAACTGAAGAAAACCAAACTGATACTTTTTTTTTTTCCTTTTTAACAAAAAAAAATAAAAAATAAATAAATAATAAAAAAATGAATTTATCGAAAACATATAAACATGGGGAAAAAGAGATGTTTTTTATCGCATCACATAATAGAAAAAGTATATTTTAAAATAAATTAACTGTAATGTTCTTGAATGAAAGTAAAAAAATAAAAACGATAAATATTTTTTGAGCAACATAAATGCAAATTAAATATTTTAATTAAGAAAATTGTATGGCATCTAAAATTATTTAAAATGAAACAAACACATTATAGCTCAAAATAAGCTTCAACATTCAGTTGAGATTAAGTTCAGTACATTTTTAACATAAGGACATTTATAGTTCGTGAGTTATAAGAGATTTTATGTATGTTAGATTTTAAAATATTTTTTTAAGCATATTTTTTAACTACCAACAGTTAGAAATAAAGCTCAAAAACAGTAAAAAGTTTAAAACTCTCATTCGAATTTCGAGTTTTGTAATATTATTGTTTAAAAAAAATAGAGATATTTTTTTAAAAAAGTGAAATTAAATAGAATCAACTCAAAAAAAACATGGACAAAAGTAATTATTAAAATGTCTAATACGAAAATCGCAAGCCATTATACCTGAATAATATCAGGATTTTCGAAACCCTATGAAAAAACCTATCAACAACTGCTGAAAGAGTGATTAAAAAAAAAAATCTTAGATTAGAGATTAAATCCTCAAAAATAAAGTACATCAAAAATGATTATTATACACACGATAAGAAAGTGGCGAGCCTTATATCTAATTAAAAAGATCAGGATTTTAAAAAACATCTTGCAATCCGAAAACTCACGGTTATCACTTCAAAAGAGATAAACACCGGAAAAAAGCGAACGAAAAACTATAATGATTTAAATTTAGCGCGTCAAAAAATTTAATGCGCAGTTCAAAATTTCTGATTAAAAAAAACACACACACACAATATAGTGTATTATTTGTGGATCGTACCCCCTCCCCACGGTGATGTTATTTACGCCACTACAACTTAAATAAAATGTAAGGTTTGCCTTGTTTTGAGTGTTATTCCCTATTTGACTATAAGTGTGTGAAATATCACAGTTTGTTATTTTTTGGATAGTATCATAGCATGCTTGTGGAATCTTTCGAATTTGAGTGGTGTTTGTTTTGTTGAAAGCTAAATTGAAAGAACGTGTTCTATTGACAAGTCTATAAGTATAATAACATGGGTGGACCTCCTTTTTTCATACTTAGACATAAAAATAAATCAGAAATAGTAACCCAGAAGTCTCATGGTGAATTTCAGTCCATAGCGCCACCTGTGCTTTGCTTTATACGGCCAACCATCCATAGTGAAAGAAATTTTTAAAAATGCAAGCAATTCTCTCAAAATGATATGTTTTGAACAAAAAAAAAATCAGGACAACTGCAAAAAGAACTTCAGCACAAGAATTACAATGAAAAACTTTATTAAAATATTCTTTCTTTCGTTCTTTTTTCAGCTTTTAACAATAAAATACTAAATGTAAAACAGATATACTCTCAACATATAATTGAGGAATGTTTGACTAAAATTTCCTCAAATATTTGAAGATTTCCAACAGAGTGGCTAACCAAAAAAAAGGGGGGCTTACAAAAAGTAGAGTGCGATTCTGATCCAGTTGAGGTCAACTCAGTTAACCCTAGGGTCAACCNATAGGGTGTGTATATATATATATATATATATATATATATATATATATATGATACCGATACCATGGTAGAGTTGGATATTTGTTCAAGTACTTTAAATGATTTCCTTTAGATACTATTTAAACTTTTATATTTGTTAAGAAAATGAAATAATCTGCATACTTTTAAAATATAGATATGCACCTTGAAGAACCTCTAGCACACAAAAAAAGCTTACAAATCTGGAAAAAGGAATTGTTAAGTTTCTAGTGTATGTCTTATTTCAAAAGAAACATTATGTCTTGTGTGGTAAAACTCTTGGAATAAATTATTGAAGGGGAAACAGAAGTGATCAAAACAAAGTCTTAATAATATCATAAATGTAGATGATTCAAATGGTTCTACTAAACCAAAATGGCAAATAAAATTAAAGCCTATTTAAAGGACTTTTTTTCTTTCTATAAAAAAGATTAAAACAATTGATAATTTGATAAAAATCCTGCTATCTAGAATCCAACTAACCAGAAAGCTCAAGTAACCAAATTCTCGAAAATCTAGGAAAAAAGTTCTCCAAAATTCTTACTTATTAACTTTTAAAATATTTTAGTTCATTTTCACATTATTGCCATTATTTTCTATGAGCAGCGATACAGACATATTTTTGTTTTTCAGAGGTTTTAATTATGTTACGTCATTTTTTTTCAAGTAAATATTGTAATATGAAGCACTAAAAATTTTGGCATTGCATCATAAATTACAGGACTACTATCCTATTTTTCAATTTCAGTTTTTTTAAATAGATAATTTTAAAAGCTTTTATGGATAACTATTACAGTTTCCCCTTTTGTATCATTATTAAATTTTTATAAGTGTTGATTAAAATATTTTTGTTTTGCTTTTGGTGTTTGTTAAAATAGAGATTTTTGGAGCTAAAATATGCCCACATATAAAAAATTTGTCTATTTCCTGTGCATTCCAGATAGTCGAACTTTTTCTGTATAGCTAAATAATTAATATGATTCACAAATAAAATAATTAAGTAAGCAACTTTTTTCCTTGGCCACTCATTAACAATTCATTTAAGGAACTTTTGCTTCACATCAAACAATGTCATTTCTTCCTCTTCTTCATCATCATTGTCGAGGGGAACCATCTCCATGTCAGTGGACGTGATCACTCCATACTTCCGACTCTTGCTCTTCTTGTGGTGCATCCTGAAAACATTAAAAATATCAGAACTAAGAGAGAGTTTTATCTTTTCTAAAACACTTTAAAAATAAATATATAGTTGATTCTCATGGTTTGGGTGACGTTATAATATGTGGAAAATGATTTACTGTAGTAATTATAAAAGTGCACTTATAATAATTACTACTATAAATCACTTGAATTCACAATTATAAATAGCATATATATATATTTTATAATGAAATACTGTTAAGCAAGAATACTTGCTGTAGTGTATCTACCATTACAAAAATACAATCCCAATTCACTAGTATATAAGACATGTTAACTCGATTCTATGGTGGGGTACCTTTTCATAGATGAAGGCTGACATGGTTGATATCTGCTCTCCCAACATTGGTGACCTTTGGATGCGAACATACCTATCTTGACAGCAACTCTCACTTTGATCTGAACACGCCTACTTCGATGGATGGACCACATTGAACAGTAAACTTGCTACTTGTGAGTGCAACATTATCCACCTCCTTGCATTGTTGCTACTCAGTCTCGATCACACACAACCTACTCACTCGACTGCCAAAGGCAACACAGGAGTGACCACGACCCTGAACCTAATACAGCTCTCACGATCAGTAAAAAGTACAGTGATCTTAATACAGCTTTCCAGTCTTCTCACAAAACTGCAATGAATCAACTAGTGGAATCCATTCATCGAATTCTATCACAGATATAATACTGGTGGGGGTATAATACTGTAGTGTATCTACCACTACTAAAATACAATTCCAATTCAGCAGTATATAAGACATGTTAACAAGACTCTATGTTGGGATACCATTTCATAGATAAAGGTTGACATTGTCGAAAAATATACCCCCACATTGGTGGCCTTCGGACGCGATTTGAACATGCCTACTTTGACAGAAACTCCCAATTTAAAATGAACACGCCTATCTTAACAGTAACACCCACTTCGATCTGAACTACTTCGATGGATGGTCCATATTGAACAGTTGACTTGCTACTTGTGACTGTAACACTGACCTCCTCACAATGTTGCTTCTCAGTCTCGATCCCACACAACGTTCAACATATACACTCGACTATTAAAGGCAACAAAAGAGCGACCACGTCCGTGAACTTAATACAGCTGTCACGATCAGCACTAAAAAAGTACGGTGATCTTAATACAGCTCTCCCGGCTTCTCACAAAACTGCAACGAATCAACTAGCGGTATCCGCTCATCGAATTCTATCACAGATATAATTCTGGTGGAGTACTGTAATGTATCTACCACCACAAAAATTTTATTCCAATTCACTTGTACATCATGTTAACTCGATGCTATGTTGGGGTACCTTTTCACGGATGAAGGTTGACCTGGTCGATAGCTACCATCGCCACACTTGCATTAACTCTGAAGACATGATATATAGATGTTTAAATTCTATACAAAGCTAAAATTAATATGAAAATAGTTTTTTTCTTTTTTAAAAGTAGTTGTAAAGATCTTCTAACTTTCTAGTAAGGTATAAAATTTTGTTAAAATGTGATTGTATGCTCCATTTTAAGTTTATCTAGATTCCTTCGATTTTCGTTTGACTGTTTCTTTCAATGTCCCAGAAGAAAACATTTGCTTCCCGGAAAAAATCCCAATGATTGAATATTTAAGACAGCAAGAACTGTGTTTTTTAGATTAATAAATAAGACAGTTGAATCATTCATTTCAAATAAAGAGAGGAATGACCTGTTTTTAAAATTGGGAAAATTTTTAGGACTACCCAACTTACAAAAAATCTGAGCATTTCTTGTTAATAATAAAAAAAAGAGTTTTGTTGTTTAAATGCATCAAAGTGAATTGCGAAACAAAACAAAATAGTATAGTATTGCCATTTATCAAAACATCGTGAAAGTTGCCAATATCAAGGAAAGATGATAGTCAGCCTCATGTTTTATTTGAGCTAGAGACCTTTAAGTCTATATCCAGATGTTTTAACCACCCACGAGGAGTTAGGAATACTATTCCATTTTATAAATCATAATTGGCAATTTTTATAAATTGGTATATAATAACCAGGACACTCAATATTATAAAAATAGACAACACTCTTAAATTTAATTATTACTTTATTCCATACTTTTAATTATTAATAATTTAACTTAGTAAACTAACTTTAAATGCAAAAAAAGGAAATTTTAAATAATAAAATATCAAATTATGTAAATGTGTCTACATACAAAAATTGTAAATTTTATTCCTAACTTTGACTTAAAATGTTTTGCAAGGAGATACAAGTAAATAGTTCATCGACACACGTAAATTGATCTGCAACATACCTTGAAGCACTTTCTGCCTTAAGGGTATATCTAACATACCAATTTAGATACCTTGATAAGTGTTTTACAGCCCTAAGAGAAATCTCGGTAGGAGGCTTTATATACAATCCACTATAGAAGATGAATAATCATTACATATAAATTTTTTTGCATACATGTAGATATGCATCTGAGAAAATCAAATAAAACTTCATCTCAGTTATTTGGGATATTTTCGTATAAGTACCTATTCTCACCTACTACAATCAACAGAGCGCCTAAAAAAAAATTTATTATTGAGAAAAAAGAGCTCCAAAGAGCATGCAATTATGCACTATAACTGCCCTGGAAGGGATAGAAGGGAAGATTTCCGTATCATGTTCTGCGGCTGAATCGCCAAGTCTTGGCAACTTCTAGGCAGTGGTCGGAGAGAAATAAAATGTTTTATTTTTTTTATAAAGTTTAAAATCTATCTTACAGCTTAACGATTGTAGTTGGCGCGAAAGATCAAGATTCGGAAATATCCATCCCTGAATAGAAAATATATCCATCAAATTGGTGACTTTCCAAGTTTTTTTTTTAGTTTCTTGCACGATGACACTATATAGAATACGCCAAAAACTTGGCGATTATTTCGCTGCAGTTACCAATACGAATATCTTATCTGGTAATTAGCCGAAATCTCGATACATATGTAAAGGGAAGTTTAAGTTAAGGAATAAAATTTTCAAACGCACCTGACACTTCTGACAACAAAAAAAAGTAAAATTATGATCATAAATCCTAAAACGACGAAGCCTGTCCTTTGCAAGGCACCACTTTTAATCGGTACCATCCAAGATGGCACATTATGAGTTGAATTATAAGTATCTGAAATACTCGAATTATTTGGCAAATCATGCAAGGTATCAGTTTCTGAAATCACTTTAACGTCAGCATTTGAAGTCACTGTGAAATTTTGGGATGTGCTGTTTTCTTTAACTTCTCTTTTAAAATTAGAATGGAGACTTGACCATAATGGGATCGGTTTTGAGTTGCTAATTTCTTCTAAAGCCAACACACAATGTTGAATGCTAAGAAAAAAAATGAAATACAGCCAATGAATGCACCAAGGCATTAGTGAAATGACGGAGAAACTAAAACAAAATTATTATAAGTATATTAGGAAGATAAGAGAAAGTTCACAGTTGTCATATTTGTTTACATTCTACAAACGGTTAAGGTTACATATGATCATATGTTAACATAACATGATTAAATGAAAAAGAAAACAAAATTAAACGTGAATGGCAAATACTTTAAAGAAATGTTTCAGAATATTAAAATGTGCATAAAACAATGAGAAATTGTAAAAGTACCAATTGAAATATTTAATGCAGATTCAGCTAAGGAACAACTATACTTCCTAATTTTTTCCGAGATGCTAATTTCTTTTTAGCCAATCAAATTAGGACTGGCAACTTTGAAAACTGTTTTTATAATTTGCTGATCAGTTTTCTTACTTTTACCTAAAATTATTCTACAAATCTAACTTTTTATTGATGAATTACGTTTATCCTTATTTTAATTAAGCTATGGTATATTTATTGAGATAATTTCTCATTTCTATACTTTCTAAGTTTTGTTTCGTATGTTACCTTAATTATTTTGAGGGCTCAACCTCCATTTTTAATTATGTTTTTACAGGAAACACTCAGAAATATTCAAAATGAAAACCTCCTAGGTGCCAGAAATAAAGCAACTGCTGGTAATCTGCTGAGGAAACCTTTGCGTGGAGTGGGAAATGAAGTTCGCAATATTCCAGTAAAGGTATAACTATATACTTAAACAATTCCTAATCTAAGAATGCGTTTTTAAGGCGCTATTAACTTTTTTTTAAAAAAACTTTTAATTTTATTCAATTTAAGTGCTAAGGCATTGACGTAAAAGTTGTGAGATTTTGTTTACCTGTAGTTAGCGTATGAAATTTGAATAGGGTGAATCTGGAGAAGTAGAAACATTTTCTAACGCCTGGGTGTCGATTTTAATTACTGAAAAACTTTAGAAAATTTCTCGAGCAAAACTATTAAAAAATTGTAATTCGCGCTGCTATGATTCTACAAACTGGCTATTCTCACATTTTCCCATAAATGGAATGCAATTTTTTTTTTCAAATGAAAAATTTTTATAAATAAGTTTACTTGATTCATTTTAAAAATAACGAAAGTTCTTAGAAATTTTCTGGGTTCTCTACAACTAGGCTATTTTCAGGAAGCAACAGCAAGACAAAAAATTAAAAGATGAAAAAGGTATCGGACATGAAGAAGGGGATATTTCCATAACTTGATCTACCATGCCAACTATTGCCAAGGCACCAAATTTAAAATTAAATAGTAAAATTATTTTAAAAAGATGTTTTCCTCTGGGAGGGTAGCTAAGAGTTTTACCCTTCTAGTTGGTCCTTTTCTATGGTGTTTTTATTTTTTATTTTTCCTTGTGGGTTGCTGCTCATAAGTTACCAAGACTTGGCGATTATTCTGCCACAGGTCATGATAAGGAAATCTCCCCAAGAAATACATAGCAGTCACACTTAATATTTTAAAAAATGCTAAAACTATAAGTTTTCATTAAAGTGTAACAAAATGTGGGAATAAATATTTTAGTTCCTAATTTGTTTAAAAATTTTAATGAATATATTGAAGTAAATAAGTTCCTACCTACTTTAAAAAATAACTAATATCTTTTAGTCTTGGCCACTAGAAGAATAAACCAGACAAAAATGCAATTTTCTCATAGTGAGGAAATAACATTTGCTTTTGATGTTTCCATTTTTAAATGAAATTAAAATATATATTTTCAAACTATCCCTCAAGAGGCAAATAGCACATCTTTTTTCAGAAAATAAATTAACTACATTTCAAAAGTTTTTTCTCAGAATGAGGGAATGTAAAAGGATTATTTGCTCATGTAATTTAATCTTATAAATAAAAGTTTAAAAATATATAATTTATATATCATTAGAGGAAATTAAAACACTAATATTTTTAGTAAAGTTAAGTTCATAAATAAAATTTATTTTTTAGTTTTATCAGTACATGTTTTTGGAACATACATCGAAATCATATGTAAAGACTAAAAATTTTTAATTCATAGCAACAACAGTACTGGCAATAATTTTCGAAGATAATAGTTAAGCAAAAAAAAATTTGTATTTCAGTGAGTTTTTTGTATTTCTAAGCAGTAAGTTGGGAGTGTAAGAATACTTCACATGTTTAAAATTAATGTTAAATATTTAAAATTTTCAAACTTAAGAGAATGTTAGATATTTTTAAATTATATTTTGAACTAATAGGTTAATCATTTATCTATAGAAAAACTAAAATAGCCTATTTTTAGAAAATTACCCGTTTCTTCATTGTCATCTTTTTACTAAGATTACAATTTTCAACTATTTCAATTTCCATGTACCTTTCTCCTTCCTGTGTACATTTTTAGAAGGGGGAGAGGCAAAAGAATATTTAACAGAATTCTTAATGATATTTGAAAATTAATTTTAAAGAGCCATAGGTAATCAATGAAAAATAATCTACATATTTGAAAGCTTTTAGAATTTTTTTTTTTTTTTTCAAAAACTTGTTGGTCGTATGGAAGAGTTAATGAAAAATATAAAATTTTGGTCTGGAATAAGTACTTTGAATTGAATTTAATGTATAGTATGTTCACTTTAAGTGTTTTTTTTTTTTTATTTAATTAAATCTAGTTTCATAATTTTTTAATCATTTAATTTCAATTTAATGTTGCTTATTTCTTTAAAATATTTTAAGAAAATGAATATTTTAACTCTAGCTCACAAAGATTATTTTAGTTTTGTGATTCCAATAATGTGGACTTATTTTAAAAATTTTTGTGTTTTAAAAGGCTATTTTTCTAGTATATTTAATCCCTGTAATTCTTGTTGTTATTGTCAGTTTAGAAAATATTAAATTCCCAAACTATGTTATAATTTTTAATAGCAGATTTTCTGTATGAAAAATCTTTTTTTAAAGTTTTTACTTTGTTTTATTCATTGATATGCTTGTTGAACTTGGCATAACAGTTTTGATTGTAATATCCTAACAACCTTTTGTATGTTTTTCTAAAAAGTATTCCACAAACAAGGTTCCACAGGTGAGGGGAAAACTTGGAATTTTATTTAAACTTCAAAAATCGGGGAAGTTGAATTTTTTACAAAACGTGGAAGTTTCTATATCATACCAGGAAAATATTCTTGGAATTGTCAGTAACCATAATCAGTTATTAAGATTAGTTAAATAATTCTAACATCCGCAGGGTTGATTGTGCTCCGGAAGTTTCCGGAGATCGAAGGTTCAGACGTTTCAAAAAATCATTGATCACAAGTTTCCGGAAATCAAATTTTAAAAGGTGGAACTTAAAAACACAGTTTATTTTGTTTGTAAGGGAGAAATACTTTATAAGCTTATATTCAAGATTATAACTATTTACTGATAAAAAAATATTAATCATAAACTCAAGACATATTTGTAAATTTCTATTACTTCTGCAGGTCATCATTGGTATGTGTAAATGGTATAGGTGTGTGTAAAATTCCAAATATATTTTAAGTGGACTAAAATATTGAGAAAAAGGGAAAAACCTTGTTTAAATTTTTTCTAATTTTTCATTTTTTTTTTTTTTTTTTTTTTTTTTTTTTTTTTTTCATTGCACATTTTAGTCGAACTGAGGTGTTTCCATCCTCATTCAACCACGCTATTTTTCTCTGAAAATCTGGCATTACAAATATTAAAAATCTATTTTCTGGTGAAAAATAGCATGGTATATGTGAGATATAGTCTGGATTTTAATAGAAATTTATGCAGAAATTTTTTCTTTTTTTTTTCTTTCTGAAATTGAGTGATACGCCTACACGTATCTCAATCGGAGTTTTCTCTTAAAATAGCAAAGGCTTTCTTGGGTTTGTGTGTGTAAACTCATTACATTAAAATTTTCCCTATAAATCTTATTCGAGCAGCTACAAAAAGTTTGAAATTTTGCCACCTTTTGAAATTTTTTAGATGGTGGAAAAGAAAGTGTTAAAAGACTAAATGTCTTTCTTTAATAAATATTTTTAAGGCACTTGGGTACACACAGTCATTTCATTGTGGTTCTCTGGATAGTCTCCACTAAAAACCCTGCATTCTATTTTTTTTTTAAAAATGAAAAAATAAAATAATTTTTTTTATACCTAAGTATCGATTAGTTACAGCTTGGTAAAAAAATCTTTTGCTATGTTATGCAGGGTGAATTGAGTTTTTAAGAAGTGCTTAAATGTGCTTTTAAAATTTTCCCTTTTTCAAAGTGAAATTTTTATTTTTTACCGTGTCTATTTTCGCAGTTGATTACGAAAAAAGTGTACTCTTCCTATTGTTCCTTTCAACTTTTTCACAATCCATTTTGACATGCCGTATGAAGGCACCAATCATTTAACATGTTTGGTAAAATGCTTGTGATCTATAAATGTTTTCATTAAGCTGAATTTAGTTGGAAGGATTCTTTCACTCCTATGAGCAACTCTGCTGCATTTTGCAAGATATTCTAAATTTTAGACTTAGTTTTCTGCTCTTTGAAATCAAAGCGAAAAATTTCGAATTTTTGCTAAACATAGACTAGTGAAACATTTCTAAAAAAAATTTCCCTGATAGAGAAATAAAATTTCTCTTAAATTTCATTACTGTTGAAGCACTATCATCTTGATCACTGACAAGGCAATGACCTTGTGCTATTTTATTTATAGATTAGTATCACAATACTTGAACTTAGACTTGGGGATTATTCAATAAATACTTATTTTCATGCAAGTCCAGAAAATTCAGCAATCACCTCAAAATTTCCATATTCCTTTTATTAAGTTAATTTTAATAAAGATAAGAATTTAGCTTTTTAATTGTAAGAAATTTACTTGAGACCATTCACAAAATGCATGACATTTTTAAGCTTTTTATTGTACAACTTTAAAAAATTTTTAGTGCTCATAAACTATTTTATGAAAATTTATTATGAATCTATTTTAAGGCAATGTTTTAGGAAAATATGAACTCTTTTCACAATTAGCAGATATAATATGAAGAAATCTTATGTTAATTCAGATTTGAGCTTAAAAAGAACCTTAATTCTTTGGAGGGTTGAAAGATTTGGTTTAAAAACAATTGAAATAAGAACTCAAAATTCTTAGATTTGTTAATATTAGTAATGTAGGTATTATATAATTTAGTTCTGACTAAAATGTTTAACTTCAATACTTATTGTATTTACAATCCAACACTATTAAGAAAAAAAATTTAATTTTATTAGAAAAATGCTGAACTAAAGTAGCAAATCTTAATAATTTGCGTGGGCCATTCACTAATTTACGTTAGTAATATGAATTTATACAGGTTTTTTCGTTTTTGTTTACATGTCTTTATTAATTCAGTATGATCAATATTAATCCTAATCATGTAATGTTTTTGCATTATATGTATGAACTTTCTACAATTGAAAGAATTTATTTTTTAGTGCACATATCCTAATTATGATTTTTTTTCCCCAAGAAAAAGTGCTTACAAATAATTCTTTAGTGCTTAAGGGTACAAGGGACGTTTAAAAAATTTTTTTCCAATTTTTGAGCTACAANCTCAAAATTGAAAGTTTAGCCATTTTATTCGAATTTCAACGTCCCTTGTACCCTTAAAAGGTGTTTATTTTTGTTAAAATTTGGCTATGCTAGTTACATTTCAAAACTAAAGTGCTAAGTTATTTTTCTTGTCATGTTATTTAAGTAAATTTAATGCATATATCACATTACATAGAGATGTCGAAGCTTCAGGTCCAAAAATTTGTAAAAGACTGATTACTTTGAAGGTCCAGGTTTTTTACTCATAGCGTCGAAAGTGCCCCTGAATTCCCTCATAGTTTGATCTCTTCCGTCTTCTGTTTTTATATGTATTAATTAAATATTTTAATCGCAACCATGTTAACTGTACTCATTTATTGTATCTTTTCATAAAAAATATAAATTGAGCATTAGTGTTGGATTGCAATTTAGGCAAAATAGTCAAAGCATAACCAGTATCTTAAAATCATGCATTGAGTATTGTCTAAGTTTCTTTGTAGGTTATTTTGCTGACAATTAATTAAAATGTTCATAAAATTATTGAATAAGATATTGTGTAGAAGCTAAGAAATGAGTTGTTAGGTTCTCTAGTTGAATGATTATAAAGTGCATTGCTTTAGCTCCGTACCATTTTTATTTGCTCAGTAGAAACCCTTTAGTGGGACTCTATTTCTGTCTGCTGGGTTGAAGCATGAATATCGATATTTAGGTAGATGATTCTTTGAAGATGTTACAACACTTGACTGTCATAAAACAATACTCTGTTCTAAATCAAGACCATTGTTATTTAAATAATCGCCCGTGCTTGCGTATGGTTCCCTTTTATTTCGTTATCAAATTATACAAATATGCTTTTAAAAACAATATAACAGCTTTTAAAACTTCAACTCTTCAGGCAGAAATTTCATCCATGCTGTCTCTTGATCATAAAATTATTAAAAGGTTGTACTTATGCTAGAATCCTAGACTAATATTTCGATAAATAAAGAGACGTTCTTGAAAAAGAACAAAGATATTACAAGAACATTGGATTTTATGGAGCCTCTAATAAGAGTCCTAGGCTGTCATGCTCTTAACAAATCCAATGAGAGATAAAGAATATTTACTTCTCTTATGCGGTAGAAGAAAATAGTTTGCAGGATACCATTTTCTTTTCAAAGTTTCTTAAAAGGAAAAATGGCTATGTTGATATATCGCTGGTTCAAAACTAAAACAACACTTCTGCACTCGCTTTTCATTCAAATAACATGAGAAGTTAGTGCAGAAGTGCCATTTTAACTTTGAACCAGTCATATGTTCATGCTGGGAGCTTGGTATGCACTTATATGCATACAGCAGGGTTGGCAGGTTTTTGACATGTGACAGTTTAAACCATGGTTTAAACCGTCACGTCAAAAACCTCACTGTCAANGGTATGCACTTATATGCATACAGGCTCTCTCTATAGTGATAATGGTTTTTTCTTAACTTTCAACTGAGTTTAGAATTTTATCTGAAGTAAGAAAGTTTGGCTCTAATGTATTTATTTTATTTTAACTTATTTTTACTTGAATATGTTGCACAAAAAGTGTTATATAGTCTGTATTGTTAATTAGGTTTTGTAGCATTATTGATGGTAGTTTACATTAAAATGAAATGTTGTGAAAGTGTTCTGATGTGTTGCAATTGCAGGGATCTTTTAGAGAAAAGGCGACTAAAACCAAAGATTGCGGGAAAGAGAAACTGGTTCCTGTAAAGTCTGTTAGAACTAGATCTGAATCAAAGAAAGGGGTGAGTATCTGCCTTTAGATTATAATTAGTTTCTTATTTACAATCGCGTGCTTCAATGGAAAATCAAGATATTTTATTTTCCATAATTAAGGTTTTCCTAATGAAAGCTCAATCCTGAAGATCTCATTGCTGTTAATCGGATTGGGGACACATTTGAGTCTTTCGACACATTTGAGGGGGTGTTTAATTTTTATGCATCATTTAAATTGAGTCTCAGTTTTAACAACTTTGAGTAAATTAGTTTAAAACCTGTTTTTTAAATTCAACTTAGTAGTTTTATTGTCAATTTAAATTTAATCCAATCGAAAGTTGTAACTACGTATATTTATATAATTCAATGAGTGTCCTTTATTAAATGGATTGTTTATAAAGTGCTTTTTTCCCCTTTGATTCTTAAAGTTAGATTCAAAATCTTTAAATTAAACCAGTAAGTTGAACTTGTATGTTAAATTTCATTTTTGGTTTTTTAAGCTCACCTTCTATCGTATCTTAACCTATTTTATTCTATCATTAACATATTTTAAAATTATGTTAAAATATTTAACTAGAGGTGTTCAACTTTGAGTGAAGGGTCACATACACATTTGACCAATGAAGGGTGGCATGCCTATGTATTTGGATACATGTTGATAGCAATTATAGATAGTAATTGGTGGAAACATCACTGTTCTAGGCACTAAATTCTTTTAATCGGTTAGATTAGTAATATGTTTGTATATAAATTAAATATATTTAAGTGTTTAAAATTAGTCAAAATTATTACTGTTTTAGAAAAAAAAAGAGGAAGGAAAGAAAAAACTATCAGAAAAAATTTAGTTTAATTTGAAATAAATACAAAATATCTAGGTACAAAATAGGTAATACAAAAGTCTGTTTTAATAAGTTCTAACAAAGCTCAAATGTTTGAATTAAATTTTAAAAATTTTAAATATTCTATTAAGCAAAATAAATGCAAGTAAAATAATTTAAAGAAAATTTAAGATTTAAAAAGCTGAATTGAAACAAAACCCTTACAGTGCAATTCAAAATCTTATGGGGGAAATTTAGTAACTGCCAAAAATGTAAGAAAAACCTCTTAAATTTATGTTAACATCAGCACAAACGGAGGGCATCAAAATATGTTTATTTTGAAGAGATTTGAAATTTAAGTATAGTAATAACATGTTAAAAATCCGGGTTTTTTTTTTACTGTCTGAGAAAAGCGTAATAACTGACAAAACTACGATCAAAAATAGTTTTGTATTTAAATTTGGGATTTGAAATTCAAGAGTTATAATAGCATATTAAAAATTTAGTGTCTTTTTAAAACTTGTAGAAATTTCGATTGATCGAAGCAGAATACAATCTGCTAAAACAGATTTTAAACATTTTTCTTAGTTATAATATTTTGGAAACAAATATTAAAGTTCAAAAGGTTTTGCTATACATAATTTTCTTTTAACAATTTTTTACACACTGAATTCTACTAATAAAAATTTTGGTCTCAATTTGTGTAGGTTTTTCAAGATGTTGAAGAACTAAAGAAATCTCTTCCAGTCATTGACTCTCATTCTACTAAGCAGCTACCACCTGGCGTTGAAAATATTGATGTAGATGATGTGGAAAATCCTTTGCTTGTCAGCATCTATATTAATGATATTTATTGTTACCTAAGAAATCTAGAGGTCAGTCCTTTATATGTATATTAATGTTGTCTTTAAGTCTTAAAAAAATTTGAATTTTATTCTGCTTCTTAACTATATTTTATAGAGTATTCTCCGGTAGCTGATCAAATTTGTAACTTGATGCGAAAAAAGTTTATATTGATAATGAGTTGTTTTTTATATAAACATTAAGGGTAATTTTTTTAATTAGTAAATTCTAAGTGTTTTTAACAAAAGTAAATGCTTGTTATAGATAGGGTTAGTCCCATGTCAGACTCCTTCCCCAAAGCTTTCCAGTTGTAAGATGGAATCTGAGTTATCATGGCGTTTCTTCAAACTGACGTGTTTGATGAATTTTATTAGCAGGGTAGTTTAAATATAGGGTCTGATTTAAAAGGATTGTTTAATTTTTAGTTTAAGGCTTATTAAATTGTAAAAAGTGAAAGGTTGCTGTATTTTCTGGTGGAAGAAAAGCTTGATGAAGAAAGTTATCGAAAGTGCAATCTTTCTTTAAGCTGGGGGTGTATACAAGGTACATACCTTTTTAATTTGTCTCCTTTTACGATGTTTTTTTTTTTTTTTTTTTTCCATCTGCGAAAGTTGCTAAAAATTGGCTATGTTCTGCAGCAGAATGCCATAAGGGCAAAGATTTTGCAGACTTTGTTATTAATTTTTTAATAGTTTTTCTCTCAGTTATTTAATTTTAAATAATTTTCCTTGATAAATTTTTTGCAACTAAAAATTATTTTGTCGGAAGCTCTATGTGTAAGAGAAAAACCTTTTTTCGATATCGCTGCTGTGCTTTGGCCGAACAATACAGTAATTGTGGGTTTCACTTTATAGTGTGCTCGGTTACAAAAGATGGTTAAAATTTTTATGATGTTTGCCATCTTCTAACTCTGTTCCTCAAATTTATTATTGATTACAATTTTTTTGTTTTGTTAATGAACCCTAGTTGAGGCTGATAGAAAGGCTGAAGCTATTTATGTAGGTTTGTAGCATAGAAGATAATAGATTTAAGCACATAATGAGATTTTTCTTTAGAAAATTCTTTAACAGTTAATGACAGTGTGATTATTCACTTTTTCAAACCAGCTGGAGTCAGCTGGGCATATGCCAATAATGCTAAAAGCAAGGTTGGAAAGTTTTTGACATTTAATATTTTTATCCAGTTTTAACCATAGTTTTAACAGTCATGTTGGAAAAAACCAAATTTTGATGTGAAGCTACCTACATATGAAATCGCAACAGATAAATAATATTTTTGAATTATTTTGACATTAAAATTTTTTTTAAATTGTCTTCTAAACCCAAATTTTTAGTGTAGGAAATTTTAAATAATTATAAATAAAAATGTGTGAATTAAACTACTAAAAGAAGTTAATTAAATTGTAAGATTCAATTTGCAGGACTTAAATGTCCTGAATTTTTTTTTTTTTTTTTTTTTCCAAATTTTTTTGTATGAGTTAACAGGAAGAATAAGTATTTTTTTGAGTGCTACATTTATTTGACTCCAGTGTTAGAGAAAATTACCCTTGATTAGGTGGCATAAAAGCATTCAATGTCGAGAAATATATAAAATGTTCTAATCTTTCTACTCCCTCCTCATCATTATATTATACTCTACTGTTTTTCACAACGGAATCCTCTTATTTTGTTACTACTTAATGATTTTCCATGTTTAGACTATTTTACCCTTTTTTATGTAAATAAGACCAAGCAAATTTTTTGCATTACTTAAAAAAAATCTACATTTTTTCTAAATTTCTTTTTTCACTTAAATGCAGGAACTACTAAAACTATTACCAATTGTATATCTGTGAATTCAAGTTGGTATCATACAAATTGCTCCCATTAGAGAATCAACATCCTTAAATTTAGAGGCGATTGTGTCCTTAATTTTTTAAAAAACCAGTCTTCATTTGTATTGAATTGTTTTGTATTTCAGGTAATCTATCCTATAAGGAAACATCATTTACAGCTTCAACCTGAAGTGACTGGAAAGATGAGATCTATTTTAATTGATTGGCTCATTCAGGTTCATTTTAAATTCAACCTTCTACAAGAGACTTTATACATGGCTGTATCCATACTAGACAGATATCTTCAAGTATGTACTCATCAAAGACTAAATCTATTTTGATGCATATATAAATTGTAATCTCAAAGTAATTTTCCTTTTTTCTTCTCTGCTTTCTAAGATTAATATTTAAGGATAATAACTAAGATAATAATTAAGATAACTTTTTGTAAAACGGAACAAACATCAAAACGTGTGTTATTCAATAAGGAATAGATTATCCTAATTTTTATAAAACGTTTTCTTGTAGATTGAACGACATTTTAAAAACTGGAGTACTTAGTATAAAATGTATTTATTATGAAAATAAAGTTAGCAGATGAACTTGAATAAAGATTAAAGAAAAAGGTGGTTGGAGTTTGAATAAGGATAAATTTTTTTCTAGTTTCTTTAAAAGAATTGGCAGCTCAGATAATCGGATAAAAATAAAATAAAAGGAGCCATTCAAAAATTCTAAAAGTTCGTTCAAATTTAATAAAATCCAAAAGAACAGAATTAGTAGATTTATTAAAAGAAAACATCTAATTTAAAATGAGCTATTAAGTGTTCGGTAGATTGGAAGCTTCCATTAAACCAACGTTTCTGAATGGAACATTGTACCGTATTTATAATGTTATTGCTTTTTAGATTATTGTTCTTTCCTTATTACTCATTAAGGTTTGCAAAAAAGCCTACATTTAAGGTTTTTATTCGGTATTAAAAAAGGGGTTTATAAATTTTGTGAAAGTAGCCTTTACTTTTGGCTGCATAATGTTTTACTGATAACCTCGTACTTTTAGTTGCTGTTACCATGTCAAACCCGAGTGACATTGTATTTCTATTTTATTTCAGTTAGAATTTAAATAGTGTTTTTGAACATTAAATTTTAGAAAGAAATTTCTCGGGTTTTTTGATATGTTATTGTGTGTTTATTTTTGATATGTTATATAGTGAATATTGAAATGCCTTTTTATTAAATTGTTGTTCCTCAATGGGATTTTTAAATTAAATATGAGATATAAAATTGGATAAGCATAGCTATAGACTCTACTGGATTTTACCAGTTTCTACTAGTTTAGTAAAAGTTCTAGTTTTTACATTTTTGAAAATTCCTTAAAATTGAGCAAGTTTCCTACGAAATCCCTATTGAAATAGAATTTTTACTTAATTCATGGCTTGCTTGAATATTAATATTACCAATACATGAAGTTAGCGTAAATTATAGTTAGTAGTTAAAGGTTTTTCTTCCAAGATTTTCTGTTTTTCATTCGGAACTCTTTTTTCTTTTTTTAATTAATCCTTTACCACCAGTAATAAATTACCTGTATATTACTATTCAAAATTATGAGTTAACATTAAAAGATTTTGAAATGTTTTTTATAATGTCAATTATAAATATTGCAGACCATTTGTAGTTATTAGTGTAAAAAGCTTCTGTATTTTGATAATTTCTGTATTTGAATAAAAATCCCTAAAGTTTCCCATATGTAAAATATTTAGTGTACTTTGCAACAGTTATTATGAAATTTATATTTATTTGTTAAGTCTGTCAGATTTTTTCCTATTAATGTTGGCAGCTATGCATACAATAGTAGTGGTTCTTCAATTAGTTCTTTACTTACCAATTTTGAATCAAAATCTTAGGATTTTAGACAGGTAGCCAAGGTTTATGATTAAAAAAAATAGATACTCAATGAATATCAATAACAAATTAAACTCTGTGGCACACATTTTTAACAAAGTGCAAAGTTTTGATTTTTAGATTTCAAATCAAAACTTAGATATGTAAAAAATCTTTTAGTAATTTATATTTGATAGTATATTAAGACAATTGTGTAAATCAAAATTTTTATTTGGAAAAAAACATTTTAAGTTATTGTTTGCTGCACTGTAATGTCAATAAAAAAATAGGTAGGTTTTAGACTGTTTTTACCTCTGCAGGGCTGATTGTGCTCCGGAAAAAATCAGGATTTCCGGATTTTTCGTTAACAGTGATCCGGAAGTTTCCGGAGATCGAAGGTCCAGACGTTTCAAAAAATCATTGATCACAGAAGTTTCCAGAAATCAAATTTTCAAAGGTGGAACTTAAAAACACAGTTTTTTTTATTTGTTTGTAAGGGAGAGCCAGAGAGATACTTTATAAGCTTATATTCATAATTAATATTCATTTTTTATCAGTAAATAGTTGTTATAATCATAAACTCAAAAAAGAAAGACATATTTGTAAATTTTAATTACTTCTCCAGGTCATCATAGGTATGTGTAAATGATATAGGCATGCGAAAACTTTAAATATATTTTAAGTAAACTAAGAAATATTGAGAAAAAGGAAAAAAAAACTTGTTTAAATTTTTTTCTAATTTTTCAGTTTAAACTTTTTTTTTTTTTTAACTCAGGAAATTTTCCGGAATTTTGACTTGGGCTCACAATCACCCCTGCCTCTGTCAAGTTAAAATTTTTCTACTCACATTAACTCTTGTAACTAGTTTCAATCCTTTCGTCGTCGCCCATTTGCACGAAATTCATTAGGAAATCACTGATTTTTTTTTAAATGTTTCATTTTGAGTAAAACATTTAATTTTTAAAACTCTATTGATTCATAACATAGGGATGAGTATGGTCAATAGCCAAAAAAAAAAAAAAAATCAGAATGAGCAAGAAAGAGTGTTGGTGAAGCATTTATCCTCAATGTTAAAATATCAATACAAGTACTTTATTTAAATTGTAGGGATATGAATCTCAATGCGAATTTTCGGTTAAGACATTTGTTTAAGCAGCGTTAGTGTATAATATCCATTAACAAGCGTGGTTTTCTTTACTTGTTTGTTTTTTTTAGTCTGAGAAGGTGAAGAGGTCTGAGTTGCAACTGGTTGGTGTGACCTCCATGTTCATTGCATCAAAGTATGAAGAGATGTACGCTCCTGAAGTGAGTGATTTTGTGTACATCACTGACAACACTTACACAAAGCAGGAGATATTGAGGATGGAAAGAGTGATGCTAAAATCCCTCAAGTTTGACTTGAGTAAGCCACTACCGCTACACTTCCTAAGAAGAAACTCCAAAGCTGGAAATGTGAGTGATTTCTTCTTTCACTCCTGATTCTACATTTAGATTTTTATCATTTATTTTCAGTGATTGTAGGTCTAATTGAATTGTCAAACATTTGCACATACATGAAATACATAACTTTCTGCAAGTAATTTGACACAGTTTGTTCAGAAATCGCTTGAAAATCTTAATTTTTAAAGATTATTGATTATTTCACATATCATCGTATGTTTCTTTAAATTTGGCAGTGTTATGAAGATATAAAAACTAGTTAGAGTATAGCAATGTTCACTGAAACAATTTCAATGCAAACATTGAATAATCTTTTTTCAACTCTTTTACACTTAAATAATCTTGCTTTCTTACACTACTCATTTTACAATATTACGAGATAGAGTATTAAAACTGCTTTTTAACTAAAAAAGGCTATGATCAACTGACTTGATGTTACCATTTAAGAAGTGATATGTGTATAACGTTAAATTTTTTTTTAATAACCATGAGCTAACCACTAATTTTCTTTAAACAGTGTTTTCACGTTGTGTATATTATGCATGTCTGATACTGGCTAAGTGTAGGTGCCCCAGTATTTTTCTAGTCAGCCTGATAGGTTTTTGTATTGAGCCCACATGCTTTTGGGTTTATTAAATCTATCAATATTACAGGGTTTGTGTGCACCATTAATTAAGTTTTAACATCTGGCTTTAACAAGGTGAAAAATATATAAATATTTAAAGTATTAAATTGCACCTAAAGTAAGAACAAAAATGCCTGTTATATTATGGGCAATTTAAATACATTGATTAATAGATTTATTAGTTAGTAGGGAGAATAAATTTTTACTAAAGTTTTATCTAAGTATGCTGCTAACAATACTGCTTAAATCTGTTTTAAAAATTATTTTAATTATGCAAAAAAAAAAGCAATTGTTGAAAAGAATCTAACATTAATCCATAAAAATATTGTGCCAACCACATCGCTAAGCTACAACAGCGCCACCACATACAAGGCAGTGGATGCTCAGGCTTCAATGGACCTTTTTCCTCCTTCTCAAAATTAATCAAATTTGTTTGTCCGTGTGCTATATGTATGTCAAAGTATTTGGCACTAAGCCTTTCCTTATTTTACCCCCCCCCCTCGAGATCTAGCTAGGGCTACTATATCTAATTCTAGGGGGTGTGAAATTTCAAAATTGTGATTAAAATTAATTTAGATATTAAATGTATGTGTATACCGAAGCGTAAAACAATTAAAATACATATAAAGAATATTATGTAATAGATATAAAAGTAAATACTACTACACTATCATTAATATCACTATACATACATGAACCTGCAGGTTCTTGACTGTATTTTTAAATATTAAGTAAATATAAATTTAAAAGCTTCACACTGATCACAGAATGCAAGTCAAATCTGAAAAATGTTTTCAGAATAACTAAATTATATAATATTTAAAATTATTTTAAAGCATGAGGATATGGTGTAATTTTTTGAAAATCTCTTCAGTTTATATAGAATTCTACTCAAATAACTTACATGTTCTGCATCTTTTTTAATTCCCGGTAAGCTTAAGCATTCATGAGTGTTTCNTATTTTTTGCGTCCCAATTTTTCGATTTTATTAAAATGTTTCGATATCAAAGATTAAAAAGTCGGGAAATTTATAAACTTTCTTCAAAAATTTACGAGTCCCGCGGGACGCGTAGCGATCATTTTTTTGCGTCCGATTTCAATTTTTTGCGTATTTTACGCACTATAGCGCGTAAATGTCTTCCCTGTATATTTCATTCGGTTTTACTTTAATTGTTTGTTTTTGTCAATTAAAAATAGTCTTAAAATTCAAAAATTTACAGTTTATAGATCCAGAATAGAAGTTCTAAAAATATATTTACAAAGAGTAAAATATTGGTATAATAACTAATTTGTAGGTTGATGCAACTGTTCACACGCTTGCCAAGTATCTAATGGAAGTTGTGCTGACAGAGTACGACTGTGCCCATTATCGTCCATCAATGTTGGCTGCTGCTGCACTGTATCTTGCAAGAAAGCTTTTGACTGAATCTTCTTCCTGGAATGATACCCTAAAATTCTACAGTAATTATTCAGAAGAGGATTTCATGCCCATTGTCAAAAATTTGTGCAAGATAATCCTGAAAGCAGGAGCTTCAAAGTTAAAGGTAACTCTTTCATTCTTCCTAGTTTAGAAATTCTTATGGGAATACATAGGAATGAATAGACAAGGTGTGCTTTTTGTTTCATTTGATATTTATAAAGTGCTTAATTTTCTCTTTTCCAAAATTAGATTTTTCTTTACCATGTCTCTTTATACTGAGACTTACCCAAAACTTAGTTTTTGTAGTTACCCATTAAACATTTTCACAATTTGTTCAAACAAATCCATTTCAGTATGCTGTCATCTTTATCGTAAGTCACCAGTTTTATTCGTGTTGTATGGACTACTCGCGGGTCCGCATGGAACCGGAATTCGTGAGAAGGCTTCTTGCCCCAGTAACTTGGCTTACATTTTGACTTTTTCCACTGGAAAGAAAATCTATATTTTAATTAGATTGTCAAAATGAATTTTTCTAAACAAATTAGCATTTTGTATTCCATTACGGTAATTTTCGGTCGATTTGCTGCATAGCCAATTAAAATTGGATCCAAATGATATAGGCCTGAAACAGACTACGGAAAATAGTTTTCTATGGTGGAAAAGTCATAAATTGTTAAGATTTGTGATTGGCGAAGACTTTTGACTTGATATTTTGCTAATAATTCGAAATCCTTAGTGTGGTAGGTATTCCCCTGTATGGTAGGTTTCTGTATTTACGATACATTCGAAGGTTACAGTATTGAAATCAGGATTTTAAAAACAAGGTCGCTTTACAGCAGAATTGAAGTAGCTCTAAATTCGTGTATGGTTGTAAAATCATGCTCTATTAAATTTTCTTTTAAACAATCGTAGAAACAAATCTCATTTAAATGGCTTAGACCGATTTTAACTCTTTGTTGCAAATAATTAATTACTTCACTCATTAAGTTCTTCACACTGTCATCGGTTGGTCATAAAGTAGCCTGATCACATTTTAATGAAAAATGAACAATAAAAATAGGAACACTATTTTTCGAGCAAATTATTTTTTCTAATTGATCAAGATTTCAGTTTAAAATCAAGTGGATTTTTTTTATTAAAAAAATTACATAATGAAAATCTTAAATATTTCATAATTTAATTATTCACTTAATTTCTTTAAATTTATGTAACAGTTTTGAACAGAATTAAATCTTCTGCATTTTAATAATTTAAATTCAAGGCTAATTGTGCTCCGGAAAAAATTCGGATTTCCGGATTTTTCGCTAACAGTGATCCAGAAGTTTCCGGAGATCGATGGTCCAGACGTTTCAAAAAATCATTGATCCGAGAATTTTCCGGAAATCAAATTTTCAAAGGTGGAACTATTACACAGTTTATTTTATTTGTTCGTAAGGGAGAGTCAGAGATACTTTATAAGCTTATATTCATGATTAATATTCATTCTTTATCAGTGAATAGTTGTTATAATCATAAACTCAAGAAAGAAAGACATATTTGTAAATCTTAATTACTTCTCCAGGTCATCATAGGTATGTGTAAAATTTTAATTATATTTTAAGTAAACTAAGAAATATTGAGAAAAAGGAAAAAAAACCTTGTTTAAATTTTTTTTCTAATCTTTCTATTTAAACCGTTTTGAAATTTTTTTACTCAAGAAATTTTCCGGAATTTTGACTTGGACTCACAATCTCCCCTGTAAATTTAACAGTGAATCTTTTGAAGTAGATGCCGACGGGTATGTTTTTTATCCTCTAAAATGTTTAAATTATTAGATTATTAATTTAAAACCTTTTTTTTGTAATTTTTATCTTTTTGCTTCATTTTTATTGTTCTCTACATTTAAAAATGGAATATGAACTTTAGTAGAGTATTAATTTTAATGGTTGATCTGATTAGTTTTAAAGTAATTGCTTATAATCAAAGCTCACTTTCTCTTTACAGGCAGTCCACACGAAGTATGCTGGATCCAAATTCTTCAAAATCAGCTGTATACCTCAATTGAAATCTTCCATTGTGGTTGAACTAGCTGCTTCTAATTGATGTCTCTTTTATTTAAATTTTATTTACAACAGTGGACAAATGTAAATTGACTTTTAATAACATATTTGGCTATTTATAGTACTCTAGACAAATTTTATAATGCAAGCATTGTTTGTAAATGCTATGTTTTCATGTCTTTTGATTTGTATAAATGTGAATTGCTGTTTTATTTTAATTAAAAATGCTTAAATTATATTAATTTCACTTTCTCATTTAACCTGCCTGTTTTTAAATGCTTGTCTTTGTTTAATATTGATAGGTTAAAAACAACTGCAAATTTTGTGCATTTTCAGATATTTCATATTGGATTAAAAATCATTTTCTAAATAAAAGTTTAATGAAGATTGAACATTTTTAATCTGTTATAGAACTAAGTTGATTTGATGAATAGTTATGGTTTTTAGTTAATTTCTAGTTGAAATCTAAGTTTATCACTAGCATGCAATTTTGTTAAATATTACTCAATATGTATGATTTGCGATACCTTTTCGAATATGTAAAAAAAAAAAAATTATTTTTATACAAGAGTAGGAAAATTAGCTGGACTTTAAATTAAAGTCATAAGAGTTTTCCTCTTTTTTATGACACAAATCATTTGACTCAAATATCTTTATACAGCAACATCTTAAAATAAATTATGCATATAAATGTTAAGTTTTTTAAAAATCTGATTTTTATTGATGTTCAATCCAAAACATTCTCTCATTTACACATTTAAGTTCAAAATTTAGTAGTAAACTAAGTTGCGGTTGAACTCTGATGTAACGTCCAACGTGATTAACTATTTCCAGTTTTTAACGCTTTTTCAGCTTTGTATCCTTTCCTCTATCAATGTTGTAAAATTATTCCAGTATTTAGTGTCCTATAATATTTCTCAGATACCGTCTTGTTGGAGTCTTTATATTTTTTTTTTTGTTGAATATTAGAAATTTTATGATTCTTTAAACTTAATGCTGTCGATCTAGAAAAAAGTTTCTTAAGATTGTTTCTAATTGCCTCGGAAAAAGTAGTTTTACATCAGTTCCGCCAGACATTTTAGGCAAAATGACTATACTGACATTTTGGGAGTGATGAAGGCTGAATCTTCAGATCTATCACCATCATTTATTATGCAGCAAAAATTGAAACCGAGGACATGAAAAACGAGAAATTTTGTCCTAAATTGTTGAATAATTCATTTACCTTTAAGTAAAAGAAGAAGGTACTTAAATAAAAATGTTGGATATTTTTCATTAAAGCATTAACATTTTCTGTTTACGAAAAAAAATTACTTCAAAGTCGCAAATTTTATTTAGGTATTAAACAAATTTTATATTTTGAAAATTTTTTCACATTCTAGACATTGCGACATCCTACTATTTACGTTTTGTCCTTTCAGACTAGCATTGTTAAGTCATAGCTCTAATATAGCGTAAAACTCTTAAGTTACAATTTTCCATTGGCTGTTTATAAAATTTGTTATTTATTAAACATATTCGTGCTGGAGATTTACTTGTTTTGACAAAGAGTAATTTCTGAAATCGATTTTTTATTCTATTTCATTAGTGGACCAACGTAATATTGATGGTAACCACCCATAATTCAATCATTAACCATTATATTTTTGATGGTAACAAACATTGGGATTGAGTTGGGTTAACAATTTTTTTTCTAAGATTTTAAAAGTTTATGAGGATGTTGAGCTTAAATAAAAAGTACTAAGATTTATTTCAGTGATTAATTTGTAATTATGTGCCGGTTTTTTCAATTTTTAGGTAAAAATGTTGAGGCTTTTTATTAGTAAGCGTGTGAAAAAGCTGATATTTGCCAACCCTGGATCGGAATATTAGTTCGTAAAAATGTATTACTGTCCAATTTTTTTGGTTGTCTGTTTTTTAATAAAATAGATTAAACAAGTGAGCAAATTAGTGATACATAGCCCATGAATTATAAAACTGACTTCATTTTTAAAAATATTTCCATATAGTGTTACATTTTGAGCATTCAGGGTTGTATTATTCTTGACTGTACACAGGATTCCTTTTCCTGCTAGACTTGTTTTGAGTCATTTTGTGAAAAAGGGAAGGGTTTCATTATTTTTAAAAAAAATCACTAATATTGAGGTGTTCTTTGCTTTAATAAACTTAGTGAATTTTGTGTGTAAATTCAGAATTTCAAAAGTTTTTATCTCTTTTGAATTGAATCAAGTTAAAGTGTTTACAAGAACAAACTGCTAACTCACTTTTTATTTTTTGTTAAAACTATTGTTTATTGTGATTTAAATTTTATAACTTTACTATAAATTTTAATTGAGAAAACCATTTATCTAATCCTCTTGTGGGGGGGGGGCGGAGTTATCGACCATGCCATCCTTCATCTATCAAAAGGTACCTCTTGATTGAATCAAGTTAGCATATACCAGGGAAATGATGTTTAATATTAGTAGGGGTAGTATCTTTTATGTTAATTCCATTCATTAATTTTACATTAGTCTTAAAAAGGTTTGTAACTAGCTGTCAGTTTAATTAAATTATGAAAATTTAAAATTCACTAATTTATATTTGATTATAGGGCCGGAAGCTAAGTCTTTCAATCCACACTTTTTAATCGTAACAGTTAACATCAAACTGTTCCCAGATGTGTAGTTTAAGAGTGCCTAGAATTTTCACTATGGCTGGAGGTTTCTACTCTAGGGAGCTCGGCATGCCTTTACTTCTGTGTTATTGTTTTTTGTGTGTGCATTTGGCTCACAACGTGGTGTTTTGAGACTCTTGAGTAGTATTTCTTGTATACATGTATTTGTTACCCGATTTATTATGTGTGTTTAAAAGAAAATTCATTATAAGAATTGTCATTTGAAAAAAAAAATCTTTATAAAACAGTTCTTACTTTGTTAACAATATACCAACTTCGAAATTTAAACCTAAATGATTATTTGTAAAATGAACTTAATCTCGCTGCTGGAAAAATAAGCTAACACTAACGTAGGATGGTGCACGGATTATAACAAAAACAAGCAGTAATAAACGAGTAAAAAAGAGGCCAAATAAGAACTGCCGAAAAAGCGACTTCTTTCTAAATAAAGCAATCGTGTCACCTTTTTAAAAAATACATCTGTAAATACTGTGACACATTTTAACTTCAAACTCCTAGAATTTCTTGTCCGGCAGTAGACTGATCGTAAAGTCCCAGTAGAACACCGAAGTCGAGCATTCGTAGTTCATTTACGTCACACTAGAGCTCCACAATGGGCTATTGGCGACGGTCTGCAAAACATCCCTGAGGATGATTCAAAGACATGCCATCACAATTTTGATCCTCTGCAGAGGGGATGTCACCCTCGCTTCGGTAGCCCGAGGACCTGCACCGAAGTCAAGCATCACTGGCTGCGGTAAGTGGGTGGGTGACCACTTTGATCTGTTTGCGTAGTGGCCGAGGATGCACAGTATCTGTCCTTGTTCAACCGTAAAGTCGTCGGGCTACCAAAGCAGGGAAGCCATCCTCAGATGTTTCCCAGATCGTCTCTTATAGCACGTTATGCAGCTCTAGTGCGACGTAAATAAAGTACCTACCTACCCGGAATTTCCAAATAGTATCATTAATTTATGAAACACAGCAGATTTGAGATAAGAAATTATATAAATTACCTGAATTTAAAAATTGCGCATGGCGATTCTTATTTACGCTATTTAAATATCGTACATTATGATTCTTTTTTACGAGATTTAAAAATCGCGATTTTATTATCAAACATCAATTTTTGTATTTACCTGATTTAAAAGTTGAACGTTGCGATTCTTATACAGACGATTTAAATATCGTACATTGCGATTCTCATTTACGAGATTTAAAAATCCAATATCGTGATTTATATTTACGCGCTTTTAAAACTTTATGTAGCAATTCGTATTCACGCCAGCTTAAAATCCAATGTCGTGATTCGTTTTTGCGGTTGTAATATCGCGCGATTTAAAAAATTTTCATCGTGATTCGCATTTTTAAAATTCGATGTAGAGTTTCATATTCACGTGATTTGAAAGCCTCATATCGGGATTTATAATCACATGGTTTACAAGTTTAAAAAATCACACTTTTTTGTCAAATTTTTGTATATATATCTATACACTCAAGAGCTAAAACATTATGACCACCTCTTAGTGACGAGTTGGCCCACCTTTAGCCCGATACACAGCTGCAACCCGCCATGGCATGGATGCCACAAGTCCTTGGTAGTACCAGATGTATAAGCAACGGTCACGCTAATCCGAGATATTGTGACTTAGTGGTCTTTTTACTCTGAGCTGCCGTTCCATCCATGACATCCAAAATGTGTTCGATCGGATTGAGATCCGGTGAGTTAGGCGGCCAGGACATTAACTGGAATTCATCATCATGTTCCTGGAACCACTCCAACACAATTTGAGCCACGTGACACGGGGCGATGTCCCGCGAAAAAAATTCCATTTCCAGCTGGAAAAACGGAGGTCATGTAAGGGTGCAACTGGTCCGCAATGATGTTCAGATACCCTGTAGCATTCATGGTCTGCTCTACTACAACAATGGGTCCCAGAGACACCCAAGAGAACGTTCCCCAAAGCCTAATAACGCCACCACCTGCCTGTGTATGACCTACTGTACATTGAGGGAGCAACTGTTCGCCTGGAAGACAGCGTATCTTGACACGGCCATCCGCGTGATGAATGACAAACCGTGATTCATCTGACCAAGCAACTGTCTCCCACTGATCCATGGACCAGTCACGATGCTCCCGGGCCCAGCACAGCATTAGTTGGCGATGAGGATTGGTCAGCAAATGCACCCGAGTGGGACGTTTGCTACGCAGCCCCATATCCAACAGTGTGCTCTGATACTATTCTACTTTACCCTGCATTGAATTGGGCTGTCAGCTGAGCCACTGTCTGGCTCCGATTTTGCTTCACCAAGCGAGACAATCTCCGATGACCTTTTTCTTTGATAGCGTGTGGACGTCCAACACCATGTCGTCTACTGCTGGTTTCACCGTCATTCATCCACTTTGCATAAGTACTAACAACTGTAGTTCGCGATCAACCCACGAGTCTCGCAGTTTCGGAAATACTTGTTCCGAGTCTTCGAGCCATTACAATCTGCCCTCTATCAAAGTCACTTGGATCCGTATCCTTTCCCATCACACACAGAAGTAAGTGAAGGAATGAGTCTTCAAACTCTCCAGCAACAGTTGAGTTGAATACCACTTCCACCTGATCACGTGCCTTCCACGTCATCCAGGAGAGTACATTGCAAAATATAAGGGTGGTCATAATGTTTTGGCTCTTGAGTGTATATTCATTCTTGGATTTCCTCTTTTTTACTTTCTGACTACTCTCATCCATGAGAAGCATGTTCAATAGAATACCTGACTTAAGGCGACCTGATATATACTTATTTTTTAACTATAATTAATTTAAACAAAAACCTTTTCTATGTTATTATTGTAAAATATGTTATTGTTATCAAAGTAATATAAACTTCTTGAATTATGTTTTAACTTGAGAATCATGAATAAGTAAAGGAAAAAATTTTAAATAATATTGTAAAGACTTATTAAAAGAAACATCAGGAATAAAAATTGTGAATGAATTAGCGTAAAATAATAATGCAAATTATTTCGCTTTTTTTACGTTGAACATGTTATCAAGCACGTGAAACGGAAAATTAATAAATAAACCGTTCCTTAATTGATACTGCTTTACATCACACTTTTCAGTGTTCCAAAGCAGTTAAAAATCCCTAACATCTTCAACACACTCTTTTTCCTACATGTGTTTTCCCTTTTTGCTGAAGAACAAAATTATTTTCTTATCTTTGACTACCACACCTGCTCGACCCCACCCTTTTTTCCATTTTGATAGTTTGGGAGAAAGTGCTGTTGGGTCAAATGACGGTGGAACCGTTCGTGGTTAATTTAAATTTATGCATTTAACTGTGCCACTCGAAGAGAAATTTATAAAACCTAATTGAATTATAATGCAATCATAAAAAACTGATTTCCAATTAGTTCCATAGATATGATTAAAATATACACATGAGCCGTCATGGCTCAGGGCATAGAGCGTTCGCCTTCCAATGAGGTGAACCAGGTTCGAATCCCGGCAATGACTGGTCGATACGAATTCCGTATCCGCCTTGCACCGACCACAATGATGACATGAAATATCCTCAGTGATAGACTGATCATGGATTAGAGTCCCCTTGCCGCCAGGCTAACCATGGGAGGTTCTCGTGCTCTTCCTCTCCATGCAACGCAAATGCGTGTTAGTTCCATCAAAAAGTCCTCCACGAAGGCAAATGTACTCCTATATTTGATCCAGGAGTTCCCTTGTCTTCTGGATTGGGTTCAAGATTACAAGGCTACGGTATTGAACATTAGGAGTCGTAAACCCAAAAATTTGGTTGGCTGTTCAACGACAGTTATAATATACAATATGTATGTATTATATACACATATAACGCATTTTACGTTTTGAATCATGGGACGAAACTATTTCCTACTGTCAGTGTCAATAACGCTGGTTAAGTTGTCACTATATGTATATTATCATTTAACTATTTTTGGAGAAAATATGTTTTCTCATTGTAATAACGTATCGTATATTAAAATAAACCTATTGAAATATTTAAAAGCTAAAATTAGAAATTTTATCTTTATAGATTACCCCTTTTCAATCTATCATGCACTCTGGCAGAAATCAATATGTTACGCCCCCCCCCCAATTTTAATTTTAAAAAGAACTGCGAGTTGTATAAAAACCCTTAAATCGTAATTAAATGATCCTAATTACTTGATCGTGATCCCTTTTTTCCTGAATGATTGCAATTATACAAACAAATTTTTAACGGCCCTCTACTTCACATAAACACAACGTGCGCGAAGCGTACGCGGCTCCTAATGTATCATTTTTAGACATTTTTTGCTATAAATTCTCATGAACGTAAGTTAATTTATCGAAGTAAGAAAGTAGATAAAAATTGCTTAATCTTTTATAGAATATATTTCAATTTGAAATACATGGTTCTTATGAGGAAACATAGGTTGATAAAATCGAAAAGAAGGTGAAAGATGAAGAGTAAATAAAAATATTTATTATACTACGCATGCATGAATGATTTATATAAACATTTTTTTAAAATAGGTTTAATGCTTCTTCAAAAGTCATTAAATTAAAATTTAATTTGATGACTTTTGAGGAAGCTCACTATTTTCTGTCAATCAATTATGTCGTCGCTATCTAATTTCATTAATAGATCTTTTTCTATTGCCATTAGCATGAGAGCATTCAAATTATCCGAAGATAAAGTACTCCTCATTCAATTTTTAATTACTTTTAATGTGGAGAATGATCTTTCACAAGCCACCTGACTTACTGACAATGTTAGTAAAACTTTTAATGCTAGACCAATTAAATTGTAAGAATTGGTCAATAAATTGAATCTCTGTAATATCTTGTAGCAACAAATAACGCAATTTTTGCACGCACTGCGTATCTCACATTTTAGATTTACTTCTTCTTCTGTTTCCAAAGTAAAGTCGTTATTATCTTCATTTGAATGATCTTCTCTGATTATTTTATAATCTTCAAAGTCTGAATTTTTCAGTTTTTCCCAATGTAAAGCTAAATTCTAAATCCCGTGTGGTGTCCGGGGAAGAATTGCACCAACGTATTCCCGGCGTGTCGTAAAAGGCGACTAAATGGGTTGAGCGCAAGGCCAATCCCCTTGCCTCATAAAAAATCTACCGATTCAGATAACTCAAAGAAAAACTTCCGGACCGGCACTTCGTAGACGACCTGGTACGAAATCGGACATGATTTTTGGAACATGGAATGTTAGAACATTATATAGAGGAGGTGCAGTGAAAAAACTGATGTTTTCTTGGAGTACAAATTAGATGTACTGGCTGTTCAGGAAATGAGGTGGACGGGAAGTGGAGTAATGGACAAGCGAAATTGCAGTATCTACTATAGCTGCCACGACAGATTACACCAATTTGGAACTGGTTTCATTGTCAACAAAAGAATCAGAAACAAAGTGATTGAATTTAAGCCAGTGAATGAAAGAATTTGCAGAATACGAATCAAAGGAAGAACGCATAATATCTCAATTATTTGTGCCCATGCCCCCACGGAGGACAAGGTGGATGAAGTTAAGGATGGATTCTATGACCTTCTTGAAAAGACACAAAGTGAATGCTGTGTAAATGATGTGAAACTGCTCATGGGCGACTTCAACGCGAAGATTGGCCACGATACAAACATGAACAGATTTGCTGGAAATGAAAGCCTACATGAAGAGACAAGCAAAAATGGCATCCGACTTATTAACTTTGCCATTTCTACAAACATGGTAATAGGGAGTACAACTTTTAAACACAAAAACATACATAGAGCCACCTGGAGATCCCCAGATGGATTAACCCAAAATCAAATAGATCACATACTTATTGATTTAAGACATAGAAGCAGTCTTCAAGACGTTCGGACATACTACGGTGCAAATATGGACTCCGATCACTTTTTGGTAGTCTCAAAAATACGTCACAAGGTAAATAGATATTATTATAAAAGGAGAGATAATAACGACAAAAAGATTGACATTGAGCAGCTAAAGAAGACAGAGGTAATGAAAGAGTACCGAAAAGAACTAAAAAGCAAGATTGAATCGAGTGTCGAAACTGAGACTGTGGAGACTGCGTGGCAGTCTCTTAAACAAACCGTAATTAATGCGTCTGAAAAAATAATACCAGAAATGCTAGGGAAGAAAACCACCTCTTGGTTTGATGAAGAATGCTGTGCCATTACGAAAAAGATGAATGAAGCGTATAAATCCATGATCCAGAAACGCTACACTAGGAGCGCAGAGGAAACATATAAAAAACTGCGAAGAGAAGAAAAAAGAATTCATAAGATGAAGAAACGAGAATATATGGAAGAGGTATATAAAGACATTGAAAACTTAAAAACTCAGAAGGAAGCAAGAAAATTTTACCAACTGATAAACAATGTCAGAGCAGACTTCAACCCTAGAACCTGTAAGAAGAAAAACGGAGAACTTACTCGAGACCCGGATGAAGTTCTAGCCCGTTGGCGTGAGCACTTCGTAGATCTACTAATGGGGAGAGATAGAGAAGAAGATCTAAACACTTGTAACATGCTGCCAACCATGAGTACTGAAGGTGAAGCCATAGAACATAATACACCTACTCCTNCGCAATTTATATTTACACGTTTATAAAATTCAATATCGCGATTTGTATTTACGCGTTTTTGAGATCCAATATCGAGATTCGTTTTGACATGTATTTAAAACGCAATATTGTGATTCATATTCACACAGTTATTATATCAAACATCAATTTGCGTATTCATACACACACGATTTGTATTCACGCTGTCTGAAAATTATGCAACGTATTTGGTATTTATGCGATCTATAAATTCAATATCGCAATTTATATTTACACGTTTATAAAATTCAATATCGCGATTTGTATTTACGCGTTTTTGAGATCCAATATCGAGATTCGTTTTGACATGTATTTAAAACGCAATATTGTGATTCATATTCACACAGTTATTATATCAAACATCAATTTGCGTATTCATACACACACGATTTGTATTCACGCTGTCTGAAAATTATGCAACGTATTTGGTATTTATGCGATCTATAAATTCAATATCGCAATTTATATTTACACGTTTATAAAATTCAATATCGCGATTTGTATTTACGCGTTTTTGAGATCCAATATCGAGATTCGTTTTGACATGTATTTAAAACGCAATATTGTGATTCATATTCACACAGTTATTATATCAAACATCAATTTGCGTATTCATACACACACGATTTGTATTCACGCTGTCTGAAAATTATGCAACGTATTTGGTATTTATGCGATCTATAAATTCAATATCGCAATTTATATTTACACGTTTATAAAATTCAATATCGCGATTTGTATTTACGCGTTTTTGAGATCCAATATCGAGATTCGTTTTGACATGTATTTAAAACGCAATATTGTGATTCATATTCACACAGTTATTATATCAAACATCAATTTGCGTATTCATACACACACGATTTGTATTCACGCTGTCTGAAAATTATGCAACGTATTTGGTATTTATGCGATCTATAAATTCAATATCGCAATTTATATTTACACGTTTATAAAATTCAATATCGCGATTTGTATTTACGCGTTTTTGAGATCCAATATCGAGATTCGTTTTGACATGTATTTAAAACGCAATATTGTGATTCATATTCACACAGTTATTATATCAAACATCAATTTGCGTATTCATACACACACGATTTGTATTCACGCTGTCTGAAAATTATGCAACGTATTTGGTATTTATGCGATCTATAAATTCAATATCGCAATTTATATTTACACGTTTATAAAATTCAATATCGCGATTTGTATTTACGCGTTTTTGAGATCCAATATCGAGATTCGTTTTGACATGTATTTAAAACGCAATATTGTGATTCATATTCACACAGTTATTATATCAAACATCAATTTGCGTATTCATACACACACGATTTGTATTCACGCTGTCTGAAAATTATGCAACGTATTTGGTATTTATGCGATCTATAAATTCAATATCGCAATTTATATTTACACGTTTATAAAATTCAATATCGCGATTTGTATTTACGCGTTTTTGAGATCCAATATCGAGATTCGTTTTGACATGTATTTAAAACGCAATATTGTGATTCATATTCACACAGTTATTATATCAAACATCAATTTGCGTATTCATACACACACGATTTGTATTCACGCTGTCTGAAAATTATGCAACGTATTTGGTATTTATGCGATCTATAAATTCAATATCGCAATTTATATTTACACGTTTATAAAATTCAATATCGCGATTTGTATTTACGCGTTTTTGAGATCCAATATCGAGATTCGTTTTGACATGTATTTAAAACGCAATATTGTGATTCATATTCACACAGTTATTATATCAAACATCAATTTGCGTATTCATACACACACGATTTGTATTCACGCTGTCTGAAAATTATGCAACGTATTTGGTATTTATGCGATCTATAAATTCAATATCGCAATTTATATTTACACGTTTATAAAATTCAATATCGCGATTTGTATTTACGCGTTTTTGAGATCCAATATCGAGATTCGTTTTGACATGTATTTAAAACGCAATATTGTGATTCATATTCACACAGTTATTATATCAAACATCAATTTGCGTATTCATACACACACGATTTGTATTCACGCTGTCTGAAAATTATGCAACGTATTTGGTATTTATGCGATCTATAAATTCAATATCGCAATTTATATTTACACGTTTATAAAATTCAATATCGCGATTTGTATTTACGCGTTTTTGAGATCCAATATCGAGATTCGTTTTGACATGTATTTAAAACGCAATATTGTGATTCATATTCACACAGTTATTATATCAAACATCAATTTGCGTATTCATACACACACGATTTGTATTCACGCTGTCTGAAAATTATGCAACGTATTTGGTATTTATGCGATCTATAAATTCAATATCGCAATTTATATTTACACGTTTATAAAATTCAATATCGCGATTTGTATTTACGCGTTTTTGAGATCCAATATCGAGATTCGTTTTGACATGTATTTAAAACGCAATATTGTGATTCATATTCACACAGTTATTATATCAAACATCAATTTGCGTATTCATACACACACGATTTGTATTCACGCTGTCTGAAAATTATGCAACGTATTTGGTATTTATGCGATCTATAAATTCAATATCGCAATTTATATTTACACGTTTATAAAATTCAATATCGCGATTTGTATTTACGCGTTTTTGAGATCCAATATCGAGATTCGTTTTGACATGTATTTAAAACGCAATATTGTGATTCATATTCACACAGTTATTATATCAAACATCAATTTGCGTATTCATACACACACGATTTGTATTCACGCTGTCTGAAAATTATGCAACGTATTTGGTATTTATGCGATCTATAAATTCAATATCGCAATTTATATTTACACGTTTATAAAATTCAATATCGCGATTTGTATTTACGCGTTTTTGAGATCCAATATCGAGATTCGTTTTGACATGTATTTAAAACGCAATATTGTGATTCATATTCACACAGTTATTATATCAAACATCAATTTGCGTATTCATACACACACGATTTGTATTCACGCTGTCTGAAAATTATGCAACGTATTTGGTATTTATGCGATCTATAAATTCAATATCGCAATTTATATTTACACGTTTATAAAATTCAATATCGCGATTTGTATTTACGCGTTTTTGAGATCCAATATCGAGATTCGTTTTGACATGTATTTAAAACGCAATATTGTGATTCATATTCACACAGTTATTATATCAAACATCAATTTGCGTATTCATACACACACGATTTGTATTCACGCTGTCTGAAAATTATGCAACGTATTTGGTATTTATGCGATCTATAAATTCAATATCGCAATTTATATTTACACGTTTATAAAATTCAATATCGCGATTTGTATTTACGCGTTTTTGAGATCCAATATCGAGATTCGTTTTGACATGTATTTAAAACGCAATATTGTGATTCATATTCACACAGTTATTATATCAAACATCAATTTGCGTATTCATACACACACGATTTGTATTCACGCTGTCTGAAAATTATGCAACGTATTTGGTATTTATGCGATCTATAAATTCAATATCGCAATTTATATTTACACGTTTATAAAATTCAATATCGCGATTTGTATTTACGCGTTTTTGAGATCCAATATCGAGATTCGTTTTCACATGTCTTTAAGACGCAATATTTTGATTCATATTCACTCGGTTATTATATCAAACATCAATTTTCGTATTCATACACACACGATTTAAAAGTTACGCGGGGCGATTTGTATTCACACGGTCTAAAAATTATGCATCGTGATTGGTGTTTATGCCATTTAAAAATTCAACATCGCAATTTGTATTTTCTCGTTTTTTAAATCTAATATCACGAGATTCAAAAATCCAATATCAATATCAACTTTATAGCAGTAAGAAGAAAGTTTTTTCTTAAATTGTCTGCTATAAAGTTGTGATATTCTTATTAGTTTGCAATTTAATTATAAATGCTACTTCAAAAAATAGTAATAAACATGAAAATGTTTGGTATATAAATTGATAACATGATATCGATTTTTTTCACGTAAAATTCTTAGGGGTTTTTCCTTACTGAATGAATTACCCCTGGTTATTCCAGAAACCAGGGATGTGATTCTTTCATGGATATCCGCTGAAATTTTCTTTTCTTTGTGCACAAGTTAAAATATTTTATGAGGAATTTAATTTTCCGTGGATCGAAATTATTGAAGTCTTCATTCTTCCCTCTGAAGATTTTCTAAAAATCATTTCCTTTGGATAAAACTGGTTGACCTTTATACAGGGATCAGATTTTTTCGCTTTTGTCTCTCAAATTTCAGCCTTTTTATCAAAAACTCCGATTCTCTGAAAGTTTCGGGGTTTTTTTTTGTTTTTTTTTTTTATAAATATCCTGCTTTTTTTTAATAAATTAATTATACTCATTTACGATTTTCAAAGATAAACAGAAAATTCAAACTACGTCCTAGCTGCGAACCCCTCCGCATTTTTACTTATTTTAGCTATTTTCTCCGATTTCACCCACAGAAAATAAGATTTTCCGTATTTTTATCCGTCCGCCGGATAGCTCGTATTTTCGTATTTCAGAAGTCGCTGCTTCCTGTTTTCTGGCGTGAAGGCAAACGAAAAAAAAAATAGAGGTGAAAATATTTATTTGCTCATTCAATTAATCTTGTAAATTTGTATTTATTATATCTAAACAAAAACAATACAAATAAGCCTGTTAGAAATCCCAAGTCCAGACTCTGCAAATATCTCGATTCTTATTTACGCTATTTAAATATCGTACATTATGATTCTTATTTACGCGATTTTATTATGAAACATCGATTTTCGTATTTACCTGATTTAAAAGTTGAACGTTGCGATTCTTATACAGACGATTTATTTATCGTACATTGCGATTCTTATTTACGAGATTTAATATCGCTATTTGCAATCACGCGCTTTTAGAACCCTATGTAACAATTCGTATTCACGCCAGCTTAAAATCCAATGTCGTGATTTGTTTTTGCGGGTGCGCGATTTAAA